GTTGGGATGAGAGCCATTGCACGTACATGAGCTGATTACAGCGTTAGGAAGTTTTAAAAAGGTTTTCTTCGAGTATCTCCGTCTGTCTGATCTGATGGAGTATTGCATTCCGTTTGGCTCGGGTCAGCCCTAATGGGCAGGGTCGACGCACCTCACCTCCTAAATTGTATACATTCAGTCGATGGGGCGTTAAACATTACACTCATAGAGATGCAAAATTTTGGTCCCAGCATTTATTTGGGGCGCATTTTAAGAACGTAGGAACAAAAAGAAAATAGAAAACATCTCAACGACTGTAGTCTGTGGTATGTACCGTTGAAGACAATGCTTCGTTGTCTTTCTTTAGCAGCTGCAGTTCTGTCCCCGTAGAATTATGCGAATTTAGATGGCCAAATTATGCAAAAAGAAAAAGCCAAATTATGCAAAAATTATGCAAGTTACCGTAACACCTTTCGCGACATGTTTTGCACTTTTTCAACACAAATTTTCATGACTTTTATGTTTTAAGTACAGAAAAATTTAAAACAGAACATATCAGTATCAGTAATTTGTAGTGTATTTGGAAAGAAAACAATACACATCTGTAAAAAAAAACAAAAAAAAAAAACAACTAAAAAATATAATCTCTGTAACTTTCAGCTGTAGATCTAGATCTATCTGGGAAAGAAAAATGTAAAAAAAAAAAAAAAAGGACATCTGGATCTCTGATGCTGGCACATTACTAAAACCAGGAACACCTGTCAAACATGAAGCACCAGCAGACATGAGAACAGCAACTTTTGATGGATTGAAAAATTGAACATGCTCAAGGAACAAAATCCCAAACCATAACCAAGATCTTCTATCAAGGGAAATAACCAGCTTTTCACTGAAATAAGACTTATTACGGTGATTATTTCCCTTTAGTCACATGGCGAGGCGTTAATTAGTAAAATTAATTGTTTTGTATTTTTTAAAAAGGAAAAAAAACGTGAAAAAACGCGGGGAATCCAAAATTATGCAAATGCGCAGAATTACGCGAAAAAAACGCGGCCGCACAATCCTACGGGGACAGGCAGTTGCCCTGGGATTGGTACAAAAGCGTTCCAAGATTGCGAGACTGAAAACCGCTCCATCTGACTCTCGTCCCTGATGAAGACTGTATCATCATCATCATCCCCCAGTGCCAGATATGCGTCAGACATCGGCGATCATGGTTCTCCATTCATTCCTGTGCTCGGATGCTCTAAAAAAGGCTACGTTTCCCTGGTCTTTCCCCGTTACCCATTTGTTTAGGTTCCCTAAGTAGGTTGTTCTGGGCCTACCCCTGCCTAGTTTGCCTTCAATTTTGCCAGTGAGAGCGTTCAAGACCTTTATGTTTATTCAGGTGTCTCAAAAACTGCACTTGACTATAATAATCATATAGCATCCACACAAAGACATACTGCGGCACGGTTATGCAGGAATACAAGGTGTTGAATGCTTATGCTGGTCCAGGTTCGAATCCCCAGTGTAGGTACCACAAACTAAACTTTCAAAGTAGTTGTATGTCAAATTTATCAGTTCCATTTGAAAGGCCTGTATCCACTGAGCATTTTGGTACCATTCTTTAACCTCTCAGTCAATTTTTAAGAAAATGGTAGTTGTTTAAAATTTGATCAAATTTGTTAAAGTCAGTCACTGGCTGCAACCCCATGTTTGACAGACAACAAAAGAGTACCAAGAGCACTAAACATCTCCACATTAACAGAGTACAATCACTATAACAAATATATGGAGCCTAATTTTTTTCAAGACTGTGAGATCATTACAAATCAGTACTTTATCGCCTCAAACACGATGATCTGTTGTTATTTCGACAAAAACACCGAGCGTTGACTCAGCCGGCGCCGCACCTGGCCCCGCGGCGAGCGAGTCGGCTCTATACTGTAGTGTACCCCGCGTGCGAGGTCACATGCTTTCTGAGTCTTGCGGAAGGATTATAATAACCATATATAGCATCCACACAAAGACATACTGCGGCACGGTTATGCAGGAACACAAGGTGTTGAATGCTTATGCTGGTCCAGGTTCGAATCCCCAGTAGCCTACAATGTACAACATTTGGGAGGTTTCAGGGCCCCGATCCACCTATTTATCTCGATCCTGTCAAAGATGGGGGTTAAATTCACAGGTCCCACCTCTTGAATAATTTTACAGAGTACATGTATTGCACAAAAGAGTTGTTAAACCCCATACTATAAGATATACATGATATAACAAAACTAGGTAGCGATACCAAATCTGTAACATGACATCAAACCAAACTAGGTAGTGATGTCAAATTTGTACATGTATTACTAAATTACAACATTCGCTTCAAGGTGGCATTAAACCAAACCATGCGTAACTGTGTAAAGTAAAGTTGATCCCGCATCCCATCCGGACATTGGGGATTGCCTTATTACTTAGCGAGACAACTTCCTGGGCCTTCGGAATATTGTGGTAGGGTAGCCAGTTCCTTTCCACGCCGCCTTTACTACTTCCCGAACTCGAAGTCAGGTACCCATAACTACTGCTGGGTGAGCAGGAGGAGATTTAAAAATTCTGTGTTCAAACCAAGGCTCGAAAAATCTGCGATCGAACGAACCCGGACTTTCCGCATCGGAGACGAGCGCACTAACCGCTCCGCCACCACACAATGCGTAACAATGTAGTAAAACTTAAACCAAGGAGGTTATACAGTAAGGTTCTTGACACAAGAGAGTAACAAACAAAAAACAGAAGGGGAGATAAAGACGAAAGATGTGTGATAGGAAAGACGGAGCATACCACACCAGAACACCCGCCAACAACCCATATAAATCTCCATCTTCTTTTCAGCATGGTCAACGAATACAGAAAGAGGCATAGATCTAATAGTATGTGAGGCATCGTGGTGAAATCAGGCGCTTGTCAAAATAATGAAACCGAAGATACCGTCATTTTCCCTCCAGTTTGACCATTTTTTTCTCCAATTTTTGCTTTTTGGCTCTACACATTTTACGTCCAATTAACCCTTTCATTGCCAGGGGCGGGGTATGCGTTCCTACTGTCAGCACTGGTTGAGTTTGTTTCCCAGCATAATGTCTCGGTGTTAATGCCTAGATCTACATTTAGATTTATCGCACTCATGCTGTCCCCGTGGTTTTATGTACCCCGCATAATTTGATCATTTTTTGCATAATTTCTGATTACAGTGGAAACCTGATATAACAGGGATGGTGAGAGTAGAGAAAATGTCCTGTTATATCCGATCCCTGTTAAATCAGAAATGCAAGGAAAGTAAGCATTTGTGGACTAATCCAGCAGTACTTATTCATGGGTAGTTTCCCTTGCCACAAGTGCCCACGAATAGGGGTTTTGGCACCGACTTTCTCCTTGCCTCCTTAAACCACATCAGAAGAGCTTGGTCCACAGCATCTGCATCGGGTAGTCTCATCTTCTTTCGATTCAGAGCAAACTTTCCATTGAAGTATGCTGCCACTATCTTCTCTCTATCCTTGATAATGGTGTGAATCGACCCTTGTGGAATGTCGAACTGACGACAAATCTCTGCCAGTGTAGCTTGCTTTTTGTCAATAGCCTGGATTATTTCGGGGGGGGGGGGGGTCAATTGAAAGGCATTTTCTCTTACGCTTGACATCGTTGGTGACAGTAGACACATTAGTCATTATGCGTGCGTGTTGCAAGGTTTCGGGCTAGATAGAGGTCTGCACCACAGTGCAGCCCTCTCTCGCTTCACACGCTGCGTGTGCTTGCAGTGGCATGGCTTCAATGGGCTTGCTCCATCACTGCCTGCGTTACTCTCTCTCTCTCTCTTTCTCCTCTTACTTTTTACACATTGTTAACGAGCCTTTGTCCCTGCTATAACCGGTTGGGCTCCGATGAGGCCCTGTTATTGCCGATAACTTTTAATAGAGACAAAGAGTACGAAAAATCGGGGATTTTAAAAATCCCTGTTATTACCGGATCCCTGTTATTACCGGGCCTGTTATATATGGTTTCCACTGTATTTTCCGTTATCATTCTTTGTTAATCTCTGTTAAAATTAATAGAATCGCATAATTTCACATTTTTGGGCTCAGTTTGCATAATTTCATAATTTTTCTTGCATAAAACGATGGGGACAGCTCATGACATATTTCGGACACCAGGTTTTCGAGTGTCATTTTTCTCACTTTTCTTATTCCCCATTTTCTGAGAATTTTCTCCCATCTTATTCGTACACGTAATTTCAAACAAACTGGAAGTTTAAGTCAAAAAGTGAATTTATCTGATGTTTAAATTCAATTCGATGTTTACATTTTACGAAAGCATGCGACCGCTCTCTGTTCATCGATCGCTTTCACAAAAATATAGCAGAAAAGAAATACTAGCAAATTTGGTACTGATACGCGCGTCTTTCATTCACAAATACAAACCTACGAAGCGGTTGTGACTAAAACTCCGCACAGTAGAACTAGACTCTAGAGCCAGGTTATTAGTGTGACGTACATGTTACGTCATATAGGCCACCAAGAGTGGCAAATTTTGCCAACTTCCGGGACGTACATACATGGTACGGCACGGCGCTAAAAATTACGTATTTTGATGACGTACCAGGTATGTCATAAGGCAACGAACGGGTTAAAAACATAAATTTCTGAGTGGATTTTCCTGAAAAAAACATTGATTAAAGGCACAACAAATGTAAATTTTCAGTTTCCAAGGACTCCCAAGCTTTGGAAATCACAAACTTTGGCAGCCATTTTCTCGTTAATTTTATCTCTGAAACCAGGCGACACCGACATCGCAAATATCTCGACTTCTTTTCAAGATGTCATTTTTCAAGGGTTACATTTTTTTATCAAGCTTTAAGACGATACCAATAATTCCAGATGCCCAAAAATTGACAAGCCCCTGATTCTGCTGCTTCGTGACACATAAATACTTTACCCAAAATCACATCAAACAGAGACCACTGAACATGCTTTAAGTATGAAAAATGTCAGAAAACTGTATCATGAGCCACCATATTTATTCATATTTCAACTATAATAATAATATGTACAAAGTTGTAACATCAACATATATGCCATTTGCATTCATAACTCGAAGGGTAATTTTAGATTTCACTGGCTTAGCTTTGTCTACACATTTATTAAAGATTTTGAACATTAGAGCTGAATAAAATATTTGTATTCCTACCCCCTGAAAGTTTCTCAGCACTCACAACATAATTGAACTAGACCACAAAAAAAGATGGAAACTGTCATTACATACAAACACAAAAAAACAATAAAATTACCCTATCTTCAATCCCATAAACCTTACAAAATCATGGCACCCCTAACAAGCTTTAATCAGCAAACACACGTTTCAAGTTCACTGTATGCAGGTGGCCCGACTCCGGAATCCCATGGTAAATAATTATATATTTTCTTCATATCATCACAGAGCAGGTACCTGCACTCATGTCACACAATCAGGACGGAACGTCCTTAGCCTTGTTTTTCTTCTTTTTCCTCTTGTTCTTGGCCGCGCCGGGCCCAATCCCCATGCTGCTCAACCGAGACGAAGACATAACCTGTCCTAGTTTCCTCTTTGCCTGTTTGGGGTCGGAACCACCACCCTCAGTCTTACTACTGGCACCCGTTGTCGCCTTCGGAAAGTTGCGAATGGAGGTTTTCTTCTTTTTCTTTTTCTGGAGAACAGCTGTCTTTGATCTGCTGTCTTCCTCCTTTGGTGTAGAATCAGCTGTACCAGTAACCACTTGAACCCCCGGAGTCTTGGTCTTTTTCTTTTTCTTTTTGACTTTTCCCTGAACATCATGATCACCAGTTCCAACAACAACACTGAAAACGTCCGTTCCGTCTCCCTCGTTACTGTCATTACTTTTCGTAACAACTATGTCTTGTTTCTTTTTCTTCTTACTCTTCTTTTCTGCCGAGAGAGGTTCCGGTTCCATCGAAACACATTTTTCGCTTTTCTTCTTCTTTAACTTTGCCTCAGGAGTACCTTGGGAACCCTCAATTTCAGCACCATCCACAGACTTGCGTTTTTTGCTCACAACTTGACTGCTGCCATTTTCATCCTCTTCCCTCTTTCTTTTCTTACTTTTATCCGCACTGTTGGACACTTCACCATTCACCTCACTAATGTCAGTAAAGAACAGTTCATTTTTCTCTGAAACCTCAGACGGTTCCTCTTCCACCCCATCCTCATCTACCTTCTTTTTCTTCCTCTTCTTCTTCTTCTTTTTGTTCCTTGCAGACGTTTCCTTGGCAATTTCTCTGCAACAGAAATAAAAACATAGCTGTGAATAAAACTTTAAAGTTTTAGGGTAGATCAACAGCATCCACATCAAATAAGTCTCTTTCTAAACACATGAAGCGTGAAAGCAAGCTCATACTGCCAGAAGGACACATTACAACAAATTTTGCTACATGTAGAATAAAGGGGTGGCCACTACCTCTCTTAACGCCCTTGTTATTCATTCATTCAATGCTACCCAAGAGTAGACCAACCCGCAAGATATATCAAACACAAAACAGGAACGCTGGACGAAACATTTGTCACACCTCCCACACTAAGAATGATCATACTTCTCTACCCACCACCTACAAGCTCGGGCAATAGGGATGGGTCCGGGGCACAAATAATCTATGCATGTAAATTTAAGTCATAACAAATTTCTAATCAACACAGGCAACAATAAATGTGCGAATGTGAAAAAGGATCATAGATTTGTCATCGCATTAATTAGATTCATCATTCAGATTTAATTCTCTACATGCAACTCACAAAGTCAAAGTAAGACAATCAAAATCAATAATTAAAAGGCAAAATAACCACAAGACATAATTCAAGATAGGCCAACTCAGAAGGGGCTTTAATACAAGGGAAGTGATTTTTTAAAAAACAATGGAAAGACTAAGTAATACAAGTTGTTCCCCTTTGGTTCTGCTTAATGCACCATCTTTAGTTAACTATTTCAGTCGGCAAAAGAAGACACACAATAAATAAATGTACTAAAAGGATTATTATCTTATGATATATGTATGAAAAATATAATATTTTTCTATGAACATGGGACAGTAAAAAGACAGGCTGAAAGACAAAATGATGGAAATTTATAGTTAAAAACTAACGTATAGATAGCGAAAGGGAGGATGGATAGCCAGACCAAAAGCAAAGAGAGAGAAGGAAGCAAAGGAAAGACGTAAAAATCTCAATTTCTCATGGGTGCAAGTATTATAATCTGTACAGTGAGGCTGGGGACAGCACGGGAGTCTATATTCTTCTTTTTAGTTTTAGTCAGAGTTTTACGGCATTGCAACACAAAAAGGTCATATAAGTGCTGAAGATTAGAGGTGTTACAAGAGAGAAACAAACATAAAAAAAGAAGGAGGAGAGATAAAGACGTTAGTTGTTTGTTAGGAAAGAAGGAGAAAACCACACCAGAGTATCCGCCAAAGCATCCATTATCCTTCTTTAATCCATTAGCTGCCAAGCAAATTATTTATCATAACTATACAGTTCTTCACTCAGTAGGGATACGAATCAGATTTAGCTTGTCTTTTTCTTTTTTTACCAGCCCCCCCCCCCCCCCCCCAATGGCATTTAAAAACACCTTTTAACCTAAATAAGTTCAACTTTTACATACCTCGAGTGACTAACTGAACATAACTACTTGACAAGGGAGTCAAAACCAGAGTTCAGCAAGAGATGCAAACACCCTACACTGAACCCCCCCAACCCCCACTCTGTCAGTAAACCAGCACCTTCATTCAAATCATTGACATCTACACTGTAGAAGATCCTATCCAAACAAGGAGATTTTAGTTAGACAAACTGTCAGAAATTTCCTGCAGCAGCAAAACAAAAGAACCACGATGTAAACATGAACCACACCAAGTGGCACCAGGAATGTAGTCTACTATCATTGCCTTTCCTCCGAGAAAGGAACTGGTAGAAAAGGGATATTAGAGTTACATATGCAGAGCAATTTATAAAGCATGGGTGGAGTATGCTCTTCTATTCAAAAGAATAAAGCACAAGTAAAGTATGCTTTTCTAAAGAATAAAGCATGGGTAGAGTATTCTTTCGATTCTAAAGAGAGAAGTATGAGTAAAGTATGCTTTTCTAAAGAATAAAGCATGAGGAGCAGTGTGCTTTTCTCAAAGCCTATTACACTGACCAATAATAACCCTTCCCCATCTCCCACACAGCGACAACACTTACTCCTGTTTTTTTAGGAGGGACGGAAGCACTTTAAACTTCTTGTCCTGGTCCCTGGCTCGGGCGGCGAACTTCCTGACATCAGCCATCTCATCCTGCCGACTGCGGTACTGGCTCATCTTCTTCACCGACACCCACGCGTTCAGCTCACGCTCGGGAGCTTTCAAGATCTGCCAAACATGAAACCAAAGACAACATTTTAGTGTTATTTTAGTAAAAGTTTTACGGCACTTGCAACACAATAAGGTAATGTAAGTGCCGAAGATTAGAAGTGTTACAAGAGAATAACAAACACAAAAAATGAGGAGAGGAGATATAGACGATAGATTTTTTATAGGAAAGAAGGGGCAAACCACGCCACAGCACCCACTCATTTAACTTATTTAGCCATCAATTAAACCTTTAAAAAATTATTTTCATTTAGGAAGCCAATTGTTCTGTCTGTAATCAATTACTCTGTAAGAGCAAAACACCATCGAAATCTGGAGTGCTTGTAAATACATCACACCACACACACAATTCAGCATACTTGGGAGGGGAACTGCTCTAGTCATGTCAGTCAACGCCGACACATGCTATAAAGAGCTACTTTCAAAAATGCTATTGACATTCAGCGCACACCAGAGCATCCGCCAACCACCCACCCTCATTAGTATTAAAACCAAACAAACATTATACTTCAAAACAAGAGAAGGCAAGATCAAGGGAAAAAGACATACATTTGTGTGTGTGTGTGTATGTGGGGTGGGGGGGGGGGGGGGGAGTAAAGAGAATCACATCGACACGATGATGATCATTTAGTGAAGGGAAAACACCATATGACAGACAGACAGAAACAACAGAGGGGAAATAAAAGAAAAAGAACCAACCAGTAGAGCCCTCTTGGCACATGAAACATTAAGCGTAGTTTTAGTAGAGGTTTCACTGCGCTCGGAACTGCATAAGGTCATATGAGCGCCAGAAGATTAGAGGCATTACAAGAGAGTAACAAACATAAAAAAGATGAAGGGGAGATAAGGACGATAGATGTTTGATAGGAAACAAGCAAACCACACCTGAGCAACCGCCAACCACCAACAAGCGACATTTAGAGTATGGAGCAACAGCAATAATAGTGCATAGTAACTGATGCCACATTATTTGTGATTACAAAATTTGTTCTCATCCAGGTAATTCTACCAAAAGGGAAAAAGTCATGACCTTGAAAGGAATTACTTAATACCAACTTAAAAATAAAGCTTCAAGAAACTGAAAAAACATTTTAACTTTTGTCAGTTTCATGTTACAAATCAATATATGTGAAGAACAGATATATGCCAAATTAAATTTATCTCACAGAATGAAAAAAAAGTACAAAAGCAATACAAACCTCCTCTGTTGAGAGTCCAAAATCGTTTGGAACCACCTCTCTGTATGTGAAGGGCAAGGTGTTGATCTTGTCTTTCAGATATTCATCAATGTACTCATCAAACGTCTTGGTGGCTGTGAAAAACAGTTCAAAATTCAAATAATGAATCTTTTAAAGCTAAAACCCAGGTAGATTCTAAAAAAGTTAATGTAAATTTAAGAAAAAATACATAAAATATATACAACAAATTTACTAAAGCTATTGACTTTTTTTTTTAAATCTCCATCAACAACATTGACCATTTGCAGCAGGGCCACCAGATACTCCGACCCTTGCTCCAACACAGGTCACTACACCAGTATCAGCAATTTGCCCGTGTATTGTTTCCTTCGTATATATAAAATGAGCAGCTTAATGTGTATGCCTTTGGACATACCACTGGTGACAAATCTAAAAAAAAAAAAGAAAGAAAGTTTTTTTTACACTGTATTTCAATATTTGATTCAAAAACCAAAACTAATACAAGTTAACAGTTACAATGCAAATACATTGTGTTTTTTTTCTAAACAGCCAAAATACCGTGAAACTTATTATCAACTTACTTGGATCAAAAAGAGGCAACTTTTTGGCAAATGCTTTGCCATATTTTTTAGCCCTCTTCTTCTCCGCTTTGTAATCTCGAGTCGGGTCAAAGTCGGCATCCATCTAAATGAAAGATAAAACCATTTCATTTCTCAACATCATGAAAACCAGTATCCTCTATGGCAAAGGACATTTTTTCAAAGATCCACTCTAATCTCTTCAGCAGAACAACTTACTAGACAGACACCATAAAAAAACAAGAGTACCTTCAGACTAAAGTACAGAAAAAATGTGTATATTTTGCAAGAATCTTTTTTCACAAAAGAAAGGTTACCCAGAAACTTACAGTTTTTTGAGAAAATGCACTTGTTTTACAAGGGAAATAATCCACTATCATTATGTATACTACATAGCGCATGGTCACCATGCATTACTGGATATTTGCAAAGGTCTGCCTGCAACAGCCCCAAACATTTCAGTACAGTTTAGTTTTAGTTTTAGTAGAGGTTTTACGGCGCTCGCAACTGCATAAGGTCATATGAGCGCCAGAAGTTTAGGGCTGTTACAAGGGAGTAACAAACACAAAAAAGAAGGAGGGGACATAAAGACAATAGATGTGTGATAGGAAAGAAGGAGCAAACCACACCAGAGCACCCGCCAACCACCCACATTCCAGCGCAGTGAGGAACGAAGCCAAAACAAGTTTTAAAGAACAACTTCACCAGCAGACTCTAATTCAACACCTAAAAGCCACCATCATCATCATCATAGCATTCATAGCCCGATCTCAAACAGACATCGGAGATCAAGATTTTTGCTTAGATGATCTCAAAGTAAACCACACAAAAATCATTTGCAAACAGACAAACTTGAAACATGCATTCAATAAACCCATAACGTACATTAAAGTTTGGATCATCCATATCAGGCCCCTGCTCATCGTTCTGTTGGGTATTATCATAGTCTCCATTCTCTTCCTCTTCACCAACATCATTTTGCACCTCCTCATCTTTCTCCTCTTTACTACGCTGGGTCCACCAGTCCTCTGAGGAAACAAAGTCCACCACAAACATTATTTTACTAGTTTCTTTTCAAAGGAACATATAAAAGGTATAAAACATCACATTTAGAAAGAAAAAATCTATCACAAAGACATTAGAAAATAACTTTTTCGCAAGAGTTTTACAGCACTTGCAACACAATTAGGTCATATAAGTGCCAAAGATTAGAGGTGTTACAAGGGAGTAACAAACATAAAAAACGAGGGGAGATAAAGACAATAGATGTTTGATAGGAAAGAAGGAGCAAACCACACCAAAAGCACCCGCCAACCACCCACGAGCATAACTTTAATGAATGAAATAGCTTCAAAGTACATACAAGGTCATCAGTAGAATATACATGGAAAGTGTTCTCTGACACTCAGTTTATTTGTTTTGGTAAAGAGAAGCACATCAACACAATAACAGCAGGGAAAGAATAAGACAGATAGACGGACAGAAACAACACATGTAAAAGAAAGGACTGACATACTCTAGTCTCATCAATGAAGGTACATTTTAAAACAAGGACCACCATGAATAGAAAACCATATGTGAGGCAGCGTGGTGAAATCAGGCTCTCGTTAAAATAATAAAAGTTAAGAAACTGGCATTTTTCTGCAGGTTTGTGAATTCTTATCGAAATTTTGTGTTTTGGCTCAACACCTTGTATGTCCATTCAAATATATTCATGTGTGGGTTTTATGGAAAAACGATTTAAGGCACAAAAAATGCAAATTTGACAGTTTCCAAGGACTCTTGAGCTATGGAAGTCACCAAACATTGGGGGCCATTTTCTCGTTAATTTTACTTCTGAAACCTGGCGACCCCAACTCCTTCATATCTCGACTTCTATTCAAGATAAATGGATATTGTTTTCATCAAATGCAAGGCAAATAAACAACCTTAAAGACGATACCAATAACTCCACAAATCCAAAAATGGAAGAGCGCCTGATTCCACTGCGCCGTGATACATATCAAACATTGTCAATACCCCATTTTTCACACAGAAGAAGTTTAAGTTTCCATATCATCATCAGATGAAAACATGATCAAGATTTTACACAAAACTACCTTGTCAACAAAGGGTAACTCACAGTACATACATCACCATCTGACAAAAAGTCTTTTACAAGTCCACACTTATCAATGACGGCAAACAATGGGAACATCTTCCTAGTAGTTAATATATGGAAGAGAAGTCACCGACACTGCTCTCTGTACCTGCCAATCCTTGCACTGATTATAATAATGTACGTCAGTCTTCTACATGATAAACCTAACTCAATTAATAATTTATTCTTTTTTAATAAACAAACTATCCACCTGGGTCATCATCAATGGCTGCATCAAATTCAAATTCTGGCTTCTTTTCATTGTTGCCCTCATCACCATAGTAACCATCGTTGAAATATTTCTGGGGAAACAAATCAGTATGAAACAGTTATTTGATTCACTGATATCCATTATCATATCCAGCTTATTCCACAAGGCTACAAAGTTACAGCCATATTGACGGTATATTCCATAAAGTGGCCAACTTCAGAAAATCATATTTAAAAGGACTCAAAATCGAGAAAAAAATGGTTTCTTTGATAAATGTAAAATGATACATTATCTTTGCGTCAAATATGCATGCACGTTGTGTCCCAGAAGCTGTTTAAACTAGTTATTTATCTTTATATCTATAGTCTCAGTCAGCATCACTCAGGTTCTCACTGCTTTTGCTCCTTACAAATAACATATCACATGATCTGTAGACCACTGTTCACGGCCAGCATCAAAGAAAATCATATGAAAAGGATCAACATGAAAGGTTTTTTAAAATTTCCTTTGTTTTCTTTCTACAAATAACTGAAAAGAGAAATAATTTCTGAAGGAACAAAGGCCCAACCTCCATGATCTTATTGTGTTCATCTGGGTCAAAATCTGCCTCCAAGTCATAGTCCAAGTCGGGGTTATTGCCAATCTGCCGCAGCTTCAACAGTTTCTCCTCTTTCTCCTCCCTCTGAAGTTTTTGCAGCAAGCGGATCTCTTCATGCCTCTGCTCTCTAGCCTGAAAGTGAAAGAAAAAAACCAAAAAAACATGTCAGCGCATGAGTCTCGGGGCTTCAGAGACAATTTTATGTATAGCGCTAGCAGCTATCTGAAAGGAAAGGGGACCAACGTTAGAAATTAAAAGCAAAAAACGGAAAGAGACTCGGGGATTTGTGCCTCATGTCAAGAGAGGAACACGAGACAGATGAAAAAGTAACAGCCAAAAAAAATAAAAATTTGAAAAAGGACAAAGCTTAAAATAGTAGGCCTATTTGGCTGAAGTAAAAATAAATTCTCTCCTTACCTGAGTCTTTTTTTCCATCTTTCTTTTTCGCTTTTCAGCTCTTCTGGTGTCCTTGGGCCGAACTGACTCTGTAATCACTCGGGGGTAAGCCTTGATCTGAGAAACAACACATAATAATTATAATAATAATAATGATAAAATAAAGTTAATTCATAAATAGAATCCATCTCAGCATAGCTTTAAACACTTCACAACAACAACAACAACAACAACAAAAAACCTCAGTAGACATTAAAATGATCGAATTCTTTACGTCTTCACAAGCTTCTGTAAATGTATGTGTATTAAGAGGTTCCTGTCGATCATGCATAAACAGGGATCACAGTATTTCTATTCATCCTGAAGACAGTAAAACTAATCTTGAGCCTTTCAGACCTTACATGACCTAGAACACACATTTAGGATCTCCATAACTCTGTGGGTCCAAGTTTAGGTCCCATGCACTAACAAAGGTTTCAGGAATGGGAAGGGGGGAATGCAAATTAACCTTTAAGTCAAAAGGCTACCATAGGCTACAGCACATCGTCACCCAGCTGATCAGATGTATTAAGCCAAAAGTTTTGACTTTTTAAAAAAATTGCAGTTTCTTAACCCTTCTAGCCCCATGCGCGTATGTTTTCAGCAGCGCTTGTATCTCCCACTGTCCAAAGAGCGTATATTCTCAGTTTCGGGGCACAGTACTTAATTGGCGCATTTTTCGAAATTAGCAAACCTTATTAAACTTTAATTTTCATAATATTCGTTCATTCGCCTTTAATTATTGTTATATGTTGTCATCTAAACCTCATTATAAAGATACTGCATAATTTTTTAGAATGCATGCCTCTTTTTCTAAAATACTGCTGTATTGGCTGGGACTGGTGTTAGAGAGTGCACAAAATGGCTGGGACAGAAAGGGTTCATCTGTAATATTGGTTGCGTGAGGTCAAAAAATATTTTGTCAAAATTCAAATTTTAAACGTTAAAAAAAAAGCAAGAAAAGATATATAAAGTAGCTAGTTACAGTTGTTAAAACAGCGAAACAGTCTTCTCTCTGTCTGTAAAAAATTTTACTTGCTCTGCTTAGAGCATTTGGACAGCCTGCCGCCCATCATGTAGCACTTACTTCATCTCCTCCGGGCTCCTCATGACGGAAGTTGTATCGGTGCTCGTACTCCTCCGCCTGAGACAGGAATTTTTCCTCCTCCTCTGGATCTGGCCCTTTCTCTTCGTCTTCACTTTCCGAACTACAGAAAGAAAAAAAAATTGAGATTTAAGCTTGGGGGTTTTTTTCCCAGTAAAGAGAAGAACATCAACAAAACAGTGCCATCGTTTCTTGAGGGTACCAAAAACAGACAGACAAACAAAATGGGGAAAGTAAAAAAGTCCGACCTATCATTGGTTTCTTCCAGCTACCAACAGAGATAGGAATCCTATAAATATACATAGACCTAAGAATTTTCTCTGAGAACACCAAGAAATATATCGTGAGCAGAGGTAACAGTAGGCAAAAGAAATAATAACACTTTAAAAACACTAGGCAGAATAAAAATCCTCCTCTCAATCACTATATAACTGGACCCTGTCAAGATGGGTGAAGTTTTATATTTTATAATAGCGACAACTCAACATAAAACTCTGCCACGTCATTTCAAAAAGTGACGCATGACGGACTCTAACACTGGGCAATCCATATTTACTAGAGGCTTTTGTTAAAAAACCATTTCATTTCCTAAAGTATCTATATCTAACTCAAAATTACAACCAAATACATGGTGACACTTTACCTTTCCTCAGCCATATAGCCATTGTTCAAAATGTAATCTCTCAAAACAGTCTCCTTCTCATCCAAGTTCGGATCATTCCAGTATGCTTTCAAGGGAGCCTATGATTAAAAAGAAACATGTGAATTTCTTTTTAAAATTATCAACAATCTAAGAGCATAAATAGTTCCTGTTCGAAAACAAATTTTTAAAATTTTCAGCTTGTCAAGATTTACCTAGTACTATAAATAAAGTATAGATTCATTGCTCAAGGTCAGTAATACTACTATTAGAGGCCAGTGGCGGGGCGCCATTGGTGCAAGCGCTCCACCTAACCCGCCCTCGCCTTCACCTCCCCCCCCCCTTTTTTTTCTAATATTGTTCTAAACCAGTCAGTGCTCTAGATTAAAAAATTATTAGGCCTACGACATCCTTGTGATCCGTCACCCGCTGGCTGAGCTAGAAAAGAGCGAGGATGGTTTATGCTCGTCGCACCGCTTGCAGTAGTGTATGCTGGGACCAAGCAAAATCTTTGCACCAAAGTTATTTTTGTCACAGTAGAGACATCTAGGCATCTTTCTTCCCACACAAGAAGAAAGGTGCATGAACTGCTCTTCGCAGCACCAATTTGGTGCAAGCTAAAAATTTGATCCAAGTTTCCGCGAGCCTATCTACTACACTAGTAGTTTAGTCTAGTAGAGTCTACGGTAGCCCCCTACCTCAAAGAAGAATGGATATCGAAACTGTTGACTGTTGTCTCCCTCTATTGTGTAGCAAGTCCTGGTGCTGCACGAAGTATGTAATTAGAAATCTTTAAATCATCTCAGATTGTGAGCATAGTGAGTTGTTAGTATTGTTTCACTTTATTGCAGCTTTTATGCGGTTTCATCTAGAAACAGTTGTAAATATCGATAGATGTAGATTACAGGATATCTTGCAGATTCTAATTGACTTTCTTTAGAAATCTTAACAGTAGCTACAAAGCCTATTTTGCCCATTTGCTCACTTTCCAATTATGCACCACCTTGTCTGCAACCCACGCGACGCCACTGTAGGAGGCTACTGTCTAATCAGCGGTGCATTTCTTACCTATTAGCAACTATTCCCCCTTTAAAAAAAAAAACCAAAAACAAGGACCACAGTTTCATATGCAGGAGAGCAGACCTTGGGGGTGGGGGGGGTTGTCATGTTCATTAGAAGCAGGACTACATCAGGACAAATTGTTGAAGCATCAAATAGACATGATGTCTGCCCTTAACCATCAGTATTGAACGGACTTACCAACTCTGCTTCAGCTTGTGGATCATCTAGTCCTTCTTTCTCGCCTCTCAACCACTCCAGGTAGTCATTCTCATCCTTCTCCTAAAATCATTGAACGAAAGACTCACAATAATCATTTTCTTGTTTTAAGACCCCAATAACATTATACTAGTACCCCCTGCCCCCCTCCCCCCCAATTCCCAAAAAAGAAAAAAAGAAAGACAGAAAAGAAAAGGAACAATTCACTACACAGATCATGAACTTGCCATTTAAGACAACAGAAAAGATTAATCATATGTAGGAATAATTCGGAGGTTGGCGTCCATCCATTTATTTTTTTTTGGAGTGGGGGAGGGGGGATGAAAAAACCGACGCAATGTACAAACAGAAAGCTGTGCACAAATATAAGCTGACAGCGCTACTATCAATTCTACGTTTTAAAACTCAAACAAAAAAACAGAATTCCTAGTGAATAGTAAGAAAACACACGTTATGTAAAATAAAACAGCATTAACCAAGCAGTGCACAAAATTCCATTTGAAGATCTTTTAAAACAAAAATTAATACAAAAACAGATGACTCTACTGTTTGAAGAGATACCCATTGTTCATTGTTTCAGGAAGCAATATCCCTGCACTCCAGACATGTCCATTGATGCTCCGTTGCTCTCTCCAAAATGTTGCTGAGGGTCTTTCTACTGACTGTGCCAGTGCACATCAGAGATACCCAGAGAATACACAAGCATTCTCATACCAAACACGACTACTCAATATTCTTGTTTCATCTGACTATTTCAGGAAAATACAAACACATGATTTACAAAATTACAATAACTGAAAGAATAAAATCTATAAAATGCAGCACATAAATTAGAAGGGAATGCCAAAGGTAATAACAGTAGACCAAATCAGTAGTCCTAAAAGCAATGTAAGTCATTGTTTTATAAGCTTGGCACTGTCTTTCATACCTCATCTTCCTCAGTCTTTCGTTTTTTGACTAGAAATCCACTATCATCATTATCATCATCATCATCACTTGAATCGGCCACAGCATCCTTGAAACTGGGGAGAAAAAAAAGCTTAAGCATTTGGCACAAAATAGTAAAATATTCCTTCAATTTACCTTTTCCAGCAAAATGTCAAGCATCGTGGAAAAGTGAGTAATTTCCCAAAATAGCAAATGTATTTATCACAAACATTGTCCATTGTCTGCGTTCAACGTTTTTTGTAACAATATATCATTGAACAGACTTTTTTTTCTATATTTCTCTCCCTGCAGCCACCGCCTTTATTTTTTTTACATACACAAAAACATTTAAGAAATGTCAAATCACTGAGCCACATATTATATACAAACTTAAGAAATACAAATTATGTACAAGATATTTCACATCAATCAAATGAAGTATTGTACGCCCTGTATTAAGCTGAGTGCAGACTCAGGCCCCACATCTAACATCATTGGCTCAGAGCTCCACACTGACCTTTTTTTAATCTCTTCTTGTTCCTCAAAGTAACTTTTTCCTTGAGGCTTGGGTGCAGATTCTTCATCGCTTTCAATCCTGGGGGAAAAATTAAAAAGAACGTAAAATTCAAAATATCAAAAGATATCCCTATTCGTTCTCAAGAACAGTGTCATCAGACAGACAGTGTGTTCTGTAATCAGGAAAAGAAGAACAGAGCATTTTAGTCAAAGAACGGATGTAGAGACCATAAAGTTGACTTTACAAAGAACCAAGTAAAGCAAGGGTCTCGCATGAAGAAAGTGAGAAAGTTAGGGCATATTAAAATTCACAAAATGAGTACCTACTAAATGGTAAGTTCGTACAGTACAAAAATATCTATAGAATGCCCAAAAGTACAGCTTTTCTTAGTAATAATAAATCAGACAAAAGTGAACAAAGTTATATTCAATGTCATTCATATTACACTTTGTGAATAATCCCACTCTGGGGAAAGGATAAAGAATAGGATTAGTACAAAAGCAATAAACATTGCAACTCATTATAACTACCATGCACAATAGAAGTTTTATATACTAGGTAGAGAACAAATTATATGTTGTTCTCACAAAGGGCCACCCCCATCCCCCCCCCCCAAAAAAAATTACTCCATTATCACTGAGTACATTTTCAGTATGGCATTGTGTTTTTGTCGAGAGAACACACTACTACCCTTTTCACCTTGGTCCATGAAACTGCACAGGACAGTACTCACGCGGTACAACATGCTTTGCTATTGCTCCCTAGATAGATAACATAATACATATATACAAACATTTGATTATATGAAATCATAGTCTGAAACATTCTGCAGACGAATGAAGTGCAAAATTGAACAATGCTTAGGTGTGGACTCACAAACAAACAGGCATTGCGGTACATGATACGAGGAGCTCTTCTGAACTTACCCTCCTTTTTCAAGGATAAATTTCCTTTCATGATCCTTAAGGGTGGTTGCTTTGTCCTTTTTCTTTGAACTCAACGGTTTTGCCTCATCTGTAAAATAATAATAACAATAATAACTGGCATTTGTATGGCATTAATCCCATTTAACAGCAAGCTCTATGTGCTTTACAATCTATATCGTAACAAATATGAAATATAAAAATTTGCAATGACGAAATAAACTACTTTGCACATGCAGCAGGAACTTTTCAGCATGGAGCAATACCAATTATCAAGTACTAAAAACCAGAGCTTAGTCTTCCAGAGAGCAGGAGCACACTATAATCTTAGTTTATGAAAATCAGTTTAAGCATTAGAATTAGACAAATCATACTAGGACATACCATGAAAAAATTTCTCTCCTTCCTTATACAGTCTTGGCTGCTGGAAACGGACAACAGCATAAGCCCTGAGCCAATCTTTATCCATTTGTTTCGAAGTCCTCTGAAAAAAAAAAGTTAGTCGTTGTTAGAATGTACAGAGTCACAAAATAATATACAAATGTGATAACATAATCTGAAAACTTATTCACGAAATCACTTTTGAAAAATCAAATTTGCCAGTAATGTCTGCACTTGCTGATGTTGAGATTATCACCAGTACATAAGAAACATTTGACAACAGGCTATTTAAAACCTGATAATTTAGAGTTATTGTAACCACGGCAGTAAGCATCTGAGAAAAAAAGAATAATACTTTAGAAGCACTCCACTCAATAACTTTTCCATTGCTATGTAACTTTTATTGTATTAACCTTCGCAAGAATTTGTTAGATCTTTTTTCCATATCCACCATCTTTACTTTAAAAAATTGGCCAAAACTAGAGTTGCAACAAGCAGACAGACAGGTTCGTTACTCGCAGTCAGAGCAAGCAAGCAACAGACAGCCATGAGAGCGGATTGCGTACCTCAAGATAGTTTGTTTTTTGGGGTCCGCTCTACAATTTTATTCTCTCAGAGCGAGCGGACTGCGAACTTCAAGTCAGTTCCTTTCTTGGGCCTGCTTTATTTCATTTACAGAGCGTGCGGGGGGTTCAATGGAAGGAGTCTCTCCCGCTCGCTAACCGAACTGTTGTCTCTGCGCTCAAAGTGTAGCGAGTAGCGAATGACTCTTTACAAGTGGACGGCTCATTACCCGTCTGTTCGTTTGCGAGTAGTACCAGCGAACGGTTCATTACTCACAGATGATCTGGCGAGCCTGAACCAACTATAGCCAAAACCCAAGAACTGCTGAGAGTCAATTCTCATCTAGATATTAATTCTATTCATCTGTAAGTTGTCTGTATATGTTCTTTTCAATTTTCAGTTTCATTGTGAGTGGGTGGATCACACAGAAAATTTTACCCAGATTTTTAACAATTTTCTACTGGCTAAAAAGAATGCTGAATTTGAGCACCATTTCAGCAAAGCAAACAAATTAAGTTTAATTAAACTTCACAAACATGCATAACATTAGCATTGATAGCCTTAGCTTTAGGAATTGTCCACAAGAAAAAAAAAAACTCACAATTTCTTCCTCTTCCGACGAGGAACTTGAGCCATCAACATCCTCACCATATTTGTCAATCACTGGGGAGCAATATCAGACAAACTTCAAATACAGCAACACAAAACTGTCTTCTCTAAGACATCAATAATACATTATTTTAACATAATATTCACCAAATATATTTTTTTTAAATTACCATTTAAACACCCTTCAAGTAAAAAATGCAGGCTCATATATATACAGTCGAACCTGCCTTGACGGCCACCTCTACAAACGGCCACTTTCCATTTCCCCCCTTGCATTTTCTCTATATAATTTAACTGTGTTAAACGGGCACCTGTCCAACGCGGCCGCGGCCACCATATTTTAACACACAACCCCTATCATACTAAGCAATAACACCTGTCTTAGATGGTCACCTTAGTGACTCCATTAAGTTTTGTCATAAATTGTGCACTGGCCCCTGGCATTGTGGGCGAGCCGTCATAATTCAATCACCTGTCGTTGTTGTTAGGTAGTCCCTCCAACCGATCATATTGCGTAGGCCCCTCCAACTGTTGACCAATAGCTACCAATTTTCAGCTGCTGGTGAGGTTAGCGAGTGATCCCTCATAACCCATAAGCCCCGCCCAGAACTCATACACACATCGTAAGTGAGATGAATGGTCACTGTTTACCCAGTCTGTAACAAAGTAGCAAAGGAAGTCAACATGAAATTGTGACAGAAGCGTCGCTCGTTCTCTGAGTGGTGGCGACCCATGTGTTAGTTTTAACATGGCACTCGGTCTTCCTCGTCTGATACATTTAGTTTTATTGTCACCCTTGTGCAAAATCAGCAACAAAATAAAAAGGCGAAATACAAACCAACAACAACGGGGATACTTTTGATTGGGACCTCAGATGGGAATGGTTTGTTTTCTTCATCTTGATCAGTCCTGCCTAAGACGGCCACCTGTCTTATACGGCCACTTTTCTCCGTGACAATGGGTGGCCGTCTTACACAGGTTTGACTGTATATGATCATCAGACAGAAAGATAGACACGAACATTTATACTGTCACAATACTGTCTTTAGCATCCTACAAAATCGAGCCAAAATGCAATGATTAAAAAAATTTCACAAGTCTAAAGATTACTTGAACCTGGAGTACACAAAACATCGAAATCCACATTCCAGAAATCATTATATCACCACTGGCTAGGTTTTAGCAGGTGACACTCCTTCGATTTTCAATTTATTCCCTATTAATTTACTAATAAAGCCCCGACGGACATATATATCTAGTCATCTAGTCTACGGGATAGGTGATGGTGAAGGAAAATTATGAGGACTGTTAAAAACAGTCGTGTTTTATAGTTTTTCTGTAATTAATCTTTTATTTTAATCACATCGCACAAAATCGACAGCCGTGGCCTCTCCCCAACACCTCTTCCCCCAGCAAGCCGACAGTGCATGATCACTACACACAATTTCATAGGTCGACATATATTTAACTTTGCCCCGGCAAAGTCAACTCAACTTGGTTTTTTGTTTAGACTAATGAGGCAGGGAGGGCCAGTATAGATAGATCTAGTAACTAGATATCAAAGCTCACATCTCGATTGTTATCATTTTAATTATAGGCCCTAATCGAAACAATTTTCATAATTTTTAATGCTGGAAATATTTAGGAACAAGGGTCGGAAGTCGGAACAGATGTCATGCTGGACTCAGACTCATTTCATGATTTCAGAGCCCGAATGTAATTTTTGTCTAATTGCACTGGAGTCCGAATAGTCACTTCGAATATATTATATTTCATTTAGGCCTAATCCCAATCAAGTTTATCAAGCTAAAAATACAAAAACGGAAGCACTTTTTCAAACTTTTTGTTTGGACTTCGGATTTTTCACATGGTGCCATTGAGGTGATCTTATCCTTTGGCACGTTAAATTTTTCACTGAGGACTTCCGAAACGAGCGACCACTATCAGATCTGGATCAAAATTCTATGACATTGAATCAAGGGAAGTGGCTATTCTCACCCGGGGTGAGAATAGAAATACGATCGACCTCTCACCCCGGGTGAGACTTGCCACCGTAGGCTATTCTCACCCGGTGTGAAACAAGACTTGTTTTTCCTAATTTCGGAATACTTTCTATCGATGTGGATGATCAAATGGATAAAGGCAAAGAAAAGATTACATTATAGCACAAAAGTAAGCTAATTTTATCGACTACAAAGATGCTATACTATGGCTATTTCACTTTTCGAATCGAGCCGAACTATGGGGGTCGCCATTTTGTTTTGCCCGGAAGTTATGGCAAGATCTACTCCTCCCCTCTTCTCTCTCTCTGTCTCTTTCTGAATACTGTCTATCGGTGTGGACGATCAAATTGACCAAAACAAAGCTAAAAAATGATGGTAAAACACAAAAGTAAATCAATTTGGTCGTCTACAAAGATGCTACGGCTATTTAACTTTTCGAATCGAGCCGAACTACGCGGGTCGCCATTTTGTTTTGCCCGGAAGTTCTCGCACTCCTCCTCCTCTCTCTTTCTCTCTCTCTCCACTGCCCACAGACAAAACTGTACGCTTTTAGTAGGCTAACAGTAGTAATGGAACGTTAGTTCACGGCACAGAATTCTACCATTTTTCTGTTATCACAGTGCAGAATTTTGTGGTTTAGGGTGAACGCAAAATTGGTTGGCCTAGATCTAGGCTATAACGGTGAACGCGCACTAGGTGAGAATACTATTGAATAGCCAAAAGACTCGCCTGCACTATTCTCACCCGGGGTGAGAAAAGAGGTGGCCGTCATCAAGATTATGAAAGTGGCTATTCTCACCCGCCCGGAAGTTCTCGCAAGATCAACTCCTCCCCTCTTCTTTCTCTCTCTGTCTCTTTCTGAATACTGTCTATCGGTGTGGACGATCAAATTGACCAAAACAAAGTTAAAAAATGATGTTAAAACACAAAAGTAAATAAATTTGGTTGTCTACAAAGATGCTATGGCTATTTAACTTTTCGAATCGAGCCGAACTACGCGGGTCACCATTTTGTTTTGCCCGGAAATTCTCGCGCTACTCCTCTCTCTCTCTCCACTGCCCACAGACAAAATTGTACGCTTTTAGTAGGCTACAGTTGTAATGGAACGTTTGTTCACGGCACAGAATTCTACAATTTTTCCTCACAGTGTAGAATTCTATGGTTTAGGGTGAACGCAAAATTTGGTGAACGCGCACCGGGTGAGAATAGCCACAAGACTCGCCTGCACTATTCTCACTCCGGGTGAGAATAGAGGTGGCCCAAGATTATACTCAATGGCCCTCAATGGCTTCCAAAATCATGATGGAAGACTGAAAACCACTGTTATACGATCTGTTCATGACAAAATTACGGTAGTTTACACATTTTTTGGCCCAGTTCAAAGTTTTGAAGGTCTGTGTCGGGGATTAGTAGACTTTCGGCTTTGGGAATTTAACATGCTACAAGATCACCCGCCATTGATGCCCCTTCCAATTCAAACCTTGCCTCAATTAGGCTCATTTGACTTGTCACAAAATACTGTAAACACAGAGGCAAAGGAAGATCTAGAGAATCCAGGACTCTAGATCTAGCAATCTAGATCTAGATCTAGTTGACTGTTGACGTGTTGACAGTACTAAGTTATAAAGTAGTGTACTCAGTGTGTGACACACTACTGTGACTGTCACCGAGACAACAGACTTTACACTACACTGTCTACACACAACTGCCTGACTTGGATCAAAATAGACGTTAGTATTTCAAGCATTTTCAATATAAACTCACGTTTCTGACGTTCTTCTTTCTTTCGCCATTTGTCATAGTTCTGGGCGTAATTTGTATTTATTTTAAAGGCAACTTCTTCATCTTCGCTGGAATCTGACTCGCCAAGAAGATCCATGCTGCCTTGTTTGTATGATTATGTTTTCCCATTTCCCACTTATTTATTTTCCTATTTCACGAGAGCTCTTTAATCACGAGTTTTCTGGTTTTTAAAACGAAGAGATCTCTTTGCGCATACAGTACTCTTTCCGGGTCAAAATAATATTTGGAGGACCTTCGGCGACCGACTTCACGATGGCAACTTTCTACAGACGTGCTCTGCAACGAACCATTAGACAAATTCGTGCCACTGTAAGTTGAATACGATACTATTTCAGTCAACCCAATTAACATAATTTGTTTAGAACCTGACTCCTTTTAGATCAGAAAAGTCGATTTTTGCTAAGTTTGCAGTTCAGATTAGATCCACTGCAGACAACGCCTTCGCCTTCACTCACAGTGTAATACACCACTCACACAGTTCTGAGTTCAGTAGAGTAACTGCAGTTTTCAGATCAAGTTTAATTCATCCAAGTAACCTAACTGCGCTCAGTATTCGTTTTATCATACTCTATTACAATAGAAAGGGCTGTTTTCCAGATTAGGACACATTATATGACCCTCAGATTACTAGGACTAGGCTAGCTAGAGGCTAGCCTTGTATACACATGAATGTAATTGTTTTTTCTTAGAGATAAAAAGTAGCCTAGAAATCTAGAAAAGATCTAGAAATCTAGATCTAGAATCTAGATCTAGAAATCTAGATATATATCTACATCTAGTCTCTATATCTAAATTACTAAATCTATATCTAGATCTAGATCTAGATATCTCTAGACTATAGACCTAGTCATATCAGTTCACTTACCTGACTGAAAGGACTTGCATTGTCATTTTGTACAAGATTATATATATGCACTAGAAACCTATTCAGCTCAGGTGCTTTGTTTCCAGACTTAAACCGTCTTATAGTGCTGGGTCTAAATTTTTAGTTGTATTGGGATTGTCGATTAAAACCTCCACACTCGATATGACTATCATGAATGAATGAATGATTTTGGGCCACCTCTATTCTCACCCGGAGTGAGAATAGTGCAGGCGGGTCTTGTGGCTATTCTCACCCGGTGTGCGTTCACCAAATTTTGCGTTCACCCTAAACCACAGAATTCTACACTGTGATAACAGAAAAATTGTAGAATTCTGTGCCGTGAACAAACGTTCCATTACAACTAGCCTACTAAAAGCGTACAATTTTGTCAGTGGACAGTGGAGAGAGAAAGAGAGAGAGGAGTAGCGCGAGAATTTCCGTGCAAAACAAAATGGCGACCCGCGTAGTTCGGCTCGATTCGAAAAGTTAAATAGCCGTAGCATCTTTGTAGACAACCAAATTAATTTACTTTTGTGTTTTAACATCATTTTTTAACTTTGTTTTGGTCAATTTGATCGTCCACACCGATAGACAGTATTCTGAAAGAGACAGAGAGAGAGAGAAGAGGGGAGGAGTTGATCTTGCGAGAACTTCCGGGCGGGTGAGAATAGCCACTTTCTTTATTTACCACCAGTTTAGGCCTAAATCTATAGGTCCCTTTGATGCTTGATGACCATTAACTTGATACATCCCCCAATAACTTTACATTTCTGAAGGGGCATGATACCTGCATATATATATATAATGATTATTAATATAAAGGTAGGCTATGCTCTCAAGAAAATTGAATGCATTTCTTAAGATGAAGTTCAGAAGGAAGTTCATGGGTTGAAAAAAGGGGAAGGACAAATTGGAAATATGAGAAGAAAGCGACAACATATTCTCATGTAATATATATAGGCCTATTATGATTATGTAATTATGAAGTAACTTTTTGGATTCACCGAACAAGGCAGCATTCATATCAACTAGAAAAAAACACAAAATGTGTAGGCCTAGATTTTATGTTTTTCCTATATGCTAGCATTCAATTGCATTGGCATGATGATCTAACTTTAACTTGACATTTTCTGGAAATACAGTTTCTTTTCATTCCCAGGCTCTTGTAATTATCAGGCTGAGAAATATTCTCAGGGGGAAAATGGATAAAATGAGTTGGTGTGGGGAAGGGAGGGGGACCTTTCCAATACATTGCATTGTCATGAGGACCTGTTGAATGGAACCTATTTTTATACTTCTTCATCTAATGAATGAACTCCCGGTAAATGAGGCCTGTTTTTGACTTTTAGGTAGGGCTGGATCCTGCTCGTCAAATTTGAGAGTGGCGATTCGCAATTCAGTCGGCTTCAATGAATCGCGAGTATGCGACCACTCGTGGAGCTGTGGCGGAACATTGACTGAAACGGAACAGTGTCATATCAACGCCTCTTGGCGAGCGCGAGTCCCACTCTTGTTGTTCCGCAATCCTCTCCGCCCCTCACCCTTTGTTGCGCTGCTCTATCAACTGAACTCAATTAGTGACCCCCATAAATCCCCCCCCCCCCCAGCCCCACCATTTGCTAAAACAATGGCTCCATAAAATTCCTTCTGTCTATTGGTTGGACCCCGTTCATTTTGTTTTAATAGGGGGGTTGGACTATACCATCTTTTGTGAAATAAGGGGAGCCATACTAAGTGTTCCGTTCTGTTCTTGCGCTCGTGACTCGACTCAGCAGTAGGTTAAACAAGCCACAAGGTGGTGACAGCGACATGGGAATGAATCGGGAATCGTTTGGCGATACTGTTCCGCGTTCCGCTGAAGTGAATCGGGAATCGCGTTCCGCAGGAAAGAGTGGCGATTCAGTTCAGTTCTCACGCTCGTGGCCCAGCCCTACTTTTAGGCCCTACCGAAAAGTAACTTGGTGTTGAAGTCGTTGTAAAGGAATGTGTCCGAGCCACTGGGAGCAGCCTGGCGGAGATATAGGGAGTTAATTATATTATCATATTGAAAAGATTTTATAATATTTGAAGTCTAAATATTTTTTATAAGATATTAAAATTTTTCAATGTGTTGTACTTCATCAAATGTTAATAATGTGCTACATCAAATGTTCATATTGTGCTAAAAATTGGGTTTTTCTCAGAACTTTGTTTTTTACACCCTGTGTTACAAAATGGGGCATATCTGTTAAGTACTGAAGTTATTTGAAAAATGTTTAAATCAGCATGTTTAGCATTGAATTTGCTACTAGAATATATCTTATTTTACATATTGTGTCCAAAAAAAATCTAACCGACTTTGCATTTCGGTATTGGTAGCTTACATAGTTGAGAAAGCACAGTGGTCATAAGAATGAAAGTCAAGAGGGCATAAATAACACAGTTTTTAACTATAGCTTTGGATGATTATTATGATGGCTTGGTCATTGCCAGAAGTGATGGACTTATCATAGTGTTAAGTTTTGAATTTTTTTAAAAAGTAAACCAAAAAACCCCCAACCTTTTTGCACACTATTACGGTTTTAGATGTCTTTTAACCATGAAACTTTGTGCCCAAACCATAGGATCAAGGAATGACGTTTAAAAAAAATATGATGTTACTCATATCATATTACATTCCTTCCCTCCCTGAGTGTATTACATTTCCTGCTGAATTTGTTTCAGGGTGTATATATTCGTAATGTGATTTTTATCCTTCTTAATTGAAGGTTAATGGCACAGGAAGTACTGAAGTGGTAGATGGATTGTACTCATGGTTTTCAATTGCTTTTAAATTACATTCATATTCAACTTTTTATTTGAAAATTTCACAGTAACAGACCCGAAAGTCTTTACGGGAAAGAAACAGTGTTTGGAATTTTGTTTACCCTGAGTCCTGTTATGTTCTTTTTTATTTTGGATATACTGCCATTTGCATGATATGGAAATAGATGATAAGAGTGTTTTGGGATATCTGTTTTTTTACAAATGCATTCAAAATAGGTACTTTTTCGTGCTGTTTTTCTTTCCCGTCAAAGGAACTTTGCATATGAAAAACTGAAAACTTTTTTTATTGTACCCGTGACATATTATGTTGTTCATAAAAAGGAACTCATATTTTTTCCCATACCGATATTCATCCTTAAACAATAAATTACATTTCTGTCTGTCTGTCTGTTTGCCTGCCTGTCTGTCTGTCTGTCTGACAAAAATAGTGGTTGAAGTTTAGCTCCAACTGTAAGTTTTAATTTGTTCTTTTAGTTCTGGATTTTACTTCTTCTAGATTGCATGGTGTCAAAATCTAAGGTCAGAGCATTCTTCTCCCCCCCCCCCCCCCCTCCCGGGCAGTGCTACTGACTGAAGTGTCTTTAGGCCATTTCCAAAGTAGGGTATAAACATGTTCTTATGAACAGTAGAATTTTTAATGGGCTTATTTATTAATGTCATGCTCATACTGTGCTAGAACAACATAGGGGGAACTGCTGCTTTTTCTTTCCTCATCCTTACTATCGTCATGTTTCCTCTACTTCTTTTGTATGTTTGTCACACTCTTGTGACCCGCTCTATCCGGGGTGCCTTGATAGTCGAAGCAGACTTTGTGCTGTTGAAGCTAGAGAGGTGAGCAGAGTAAGCCTAATTCCCTGTATGGACCACTCTGTTGACATCCACCCCTTGGCACTTGTATGACCTTATGCAGTTGCGAGTGCTGATAAAAACTCTACTAAAGCTAAAAATCTTTTAAAAACCTTACTAAAACTAAAAAAAAGAGCATTCTTGGTTTCTGTCTTAGTGCCTTTTCACAGTGTTTTTTTCCCTTCCTTTTGCCCAGGCCCATGGACGAACTCAACAGGCAACAGGGGATGGCGTCTACCCGATCTGCTGCTGTGGCAGTCGCCAAAGTGTGTCCTCACTACTGAGCACAAGAGTAGCCGCTCCCCTTGTGTCCCACAAACTGTTCCACACTTCTGCTGGTAAGATTTGAAATGACACTGTTGCGGCAGTGGGTGTTTTTTGTTTTAGGTTTTTTTGGGGGGGTGGGGAGAGGGGGGGGTGTCAAGAATGATATTCAGTAGGCACAGCTACACAAATGACTGAAATGGGTATGTGCCTATATTGATAGTATGTTTTATCATGTTAATTTTTTTTTCTGGTAAGAAGAATAATTTTTTTTAAATTCAGTTAAATAATACTGAGCCTGTATAAATCAAATTATGTCATTTGATTTTTTTCCCCTTTACTAGGGGGGGGGGGGGGGGGGGGGGAGGTAAGCAGTTAAGGATGGCCACAGTTGTAAAAATATATGCGTGTATGGTAATGAGAGTCACTGCTTAAAACATTTTTTAAAACTATTATGTTCTCTTCACCAGTTTCATCTGCAGGACCTGAGCTGAATGTGCTTTTTTAAAACGTAAAAGCCATCCTTAGTTATGTACTTTATGCACTGCCATTTGTATAACTGTTTGCATTTGTGTCTGTGGGTGTTTTATTTATAAATGCATATATTAATGACCTAGAACATTTGGCCAGCCGGTCGTTGTGACAGATGCCATCCGTGTTTCCATTGGTGTAATTGATTAACTGACGTGGTATGAGGCCGTACTGCTGTACCTCCATGCTCTGTTTAAAGCACATTTTCTGAGTCAGCAATAATGCTAATTTTGAAAGCAACCCAAGCTAATTTTCAAAGTCTTTCATTTATGGGATGCAGCTGACCATGCTATATCTGATCTGTTGATAAATGTTGCTGCTTTTGAGAGAGATATATGAAAATATCTCTCTCATGCTGTCCTTGTTGAATTATATTTTATATATATATCGCTCCATCCTGTTTCATATTTTGAACTTGTAGTCACTACATTATTTGAGGTCCTATGAATCAGTAGTAACTGATAATTCTGAAGAGGTTCTTCAGTGCATTTTAGAATATTTTTTTACATTTATTCTGTCTGTTTTATCTCTACTTTTCTTTCTTGGTATTTTTTCTAGAATTTCTTTATTCTTTTACTTCAACTTCACTGTTATTATCTTCTTTTTCATTCTTTCAATGTGTGTGTAGGTTGGTTCCCTCATGTGATGCGCTCCCTCCTGTTATTTTTCAAGGTTACTTAGATCCTCATCTCTTCATGATGACGTATTGTCATTATTGCATTGTCTCACTTAAAGCTCAAAGTGGGCCACATTACGTTTTGTGATGAGGGTGGTTGGCGGGTGCTCTGGTGTGGTTTGCTTCTTTCTTCCTATCAAACATGTATCGTCCTTATCTCCCCTCCTTCTTTTTTATGTTTGTTACTCTCTTGTAACACCTCTATTCAGTTGCAAGCGCTGTAAAACCTCTACTAAAAGTAAAACTAAAACCTCTACTAAAAGTAAAACTTTTGTTGTTTGTTCTACCTTTCAGTGAGAGAGGATCTTGTCCAGTACAATTTGTCTGACATTGGTGAGGGCATCCGAGAGGTTGTGCTGCTGGAATGGTAAGAAATTTTGTTGTTGTCATGATTGACACCTACTTTCCTGTATATGAGCTGTCACTGTCTTTCTTACGTGTGTGTGTTTCGGGGGTTTTTTTACTTGTGTAAGTACAATTTGTCTACCTCTGTTACAAAATTAGTTTTTGTGTGGATACTGTTGTATTTAGTAAAATAGTTCTGGATGAAATTTAAAATTTTTATTACATACCTGTTTTGTGTTTCTATTGTGTTTATTTATCAATATATTATTTTTGAAAATGTCCCAAATTAATGGTGGGTGGTTGACGGGTGCTCTGGTGTGGTTTGCTTCTTCTTTCCAATCACCGTCTATCGTTTTTATTTCCCCTTCTTCTTTTTTATGTTTGTTACTCTCTTGCAACACAACACCTCTAATCTTCTGGCGCTCATATATGACCTTATGCAGTTGCGAGCACAGTAAAACCTCTACTAAAACTAAACAAATGCTAGCAGTTTTTTGTTGTGGTAGCGAGGTTGCCCATCATTGCAAATCTGGTGGAATGGTCACAACTTTTTTAATTAATTTCACAAAAATACGATCATAATATCCCGGATTCCAATTTTTTTAGAATTTTGGCTACCCCAACCCACTGCCAATCTTCTCAACGTATAAGGGGGAAAAAACTACAAGACCCAAACAGTCTACGTCACAACATCACATTCATCTGTCTAACTTTGACGGCTTCTTTTCTTTGAGCCCTTGCAGTTGCTCAGTGGGTGGTTGGTGGGTGCTTTAGTGTAATTTGCTTCTTCTTTCCTATCCTCCTTATCTCCCCCTCTTCTTTTTTATGTTTGTTACTCTCTTGTAACACCTTTACTCTTTTGGCGCTCATATGACCTTGTGCAGTTTCGAGCGCCGTAAAACCTCTACTAAAATTCAACTGCAGTTGCTCAGTACCTCTCTGCCCTTAGAAAAACATTAGACTTTAGGAGTGCCAAAGCCAGGAGAAAAGTAAACATTAAGTTGATAAGTCATGTTAGGAAATTCCTGTCCTTTTTTTTTTTTGCCGTGTGTGACAGCCAAGGTTTTTAAAAATAGATCATTGTTTGAAACTTAATACAATTAGCTACGGTGTGTGTGTAGCATAGTGTGCTGTGATGCCCAAGGCTGTAGTTCCATCGTTTTGTTTTTTTGTTTATTTGTTTGTTTAAGCAAGCAGTGACTCTGTGGGTGGTTGGCAGGTGCTCTGGTGTGGTTTGCTTTTTCTTTCCTATCAAACATCTATTGTCTTTATCTCCCCTCCTTCTTTTTTGTGTTTGTTACTCTCTTGTAACACCTCTAATCTTTGGCACTTATATGACGTTATTGTGTTGCGAGTACCGTAAAACACTTACTAAAACTAAAAAAAGCCAGTGACTCTTCCCCCCAGCCCCCTCCTTTCAGCCCTTTTTTTTTAACTCGACCAGTGACAAGCCCACCACAGCCTTTTTTATTCAAGTCACGCCTTTGTTTACGTTAAATTAATACTTGCTTGACTACAACCCCTTTCCTTGATACCCAAGAGCAGAACACAATCCATGGCTATATTACGCTTTTTTAAGCTAGATTACTAATTTTTTATTTGCTGATTATTAAATCATATGCTGGTGGATCCCGGTGGTTGCAAAGTCATTTATCTTCTCCTCCACAAATCTTTGGAGATCTTTGATCATATCATTGGTTGCCACTCATTTCACTGCTCTGATGCTTACTTACATCGGGTTTTTTTATGTTTGTTATTCTCTTGTAACACCTTTAATCTTCTGGCACTCATAGGACCTTATGCAGTTGCGAGCACTGTAAAACCTCTACTAAAACTAAACTTACATCGTTTCCTTTTTCCCCAGGTACGTGAAGCCAGGCGACAAAGTAGAGCAGTTTGACAGCATCTGCGAGGTGAAGAGCGACAAGGCCACCGTGACCATCACTAGCCGTTTCGATGGAGTGGTCCGCAAGCTGTACTATGAGGTGGACGCCATTGCTCTTGTCGGGGAGCCGCTGGTGGACATTGAGGTCGAAGGATCAACAGGTGGGGGCTTGTTGTGTTACGAGAATTGCATGCACCGTATTTCTTTTTATGTTGTCCTGTTGTGATACAAGTGGGCGATTGGCGGGTGCTCTGGTGTGGTTTGCTTCTCCTTTCCTATCCAACCTCTATCGTCCGTATCTCCCCTTCTTTTTTAAAATGTTTGTTTCTCTCTTGTAACACTTAATCTTCTGGTGCTCATGTGGCCTTATGCAGTTGCGGGCGCCGAAAAACCTCTACTGCAACAAAAGCAAGAATTGCATGCACCGTTTTTCATTTTCTGTTGTCTTTTAATGGCTTCACACGTTCTCACTCTCGTCTCTTTCACACACTCCTTGACTGACTCGCCACTGTTCTGCACTGTTCTGATAGGTCCTACTGCTTTCCCTGCTGTATGTAGTTTTTTTTTTCCTGTTTTTTTTGTTGTATTTTTGTTGTTGCTTTTTTTTTAGTCCTAAATGTTCACAATTGTGTCTGTGCGACTCAGTTTACTCTAACTCAATCAAGTTGATACTTTAGAGGGATTTTCTCTTTTTTTAATGTCAACTTTTTTATTTGGGAGGGTGTGTGTGTGTGGGGGGGGGGGGGGGATTGCCTCCCTGTTGTTGGGGATAAGTGGCTTCTTTGGAGTCATTTACACCATGTAATTTTTTGTTCGCGTTTTTTTTTTCCCCTTTCATAACGGTCTCCTGGTGAAATGTGGCTATTATCATGCAGCCTGTTGTGTTCAAGTTTCTGATTTACCTTCACCTCCAAGTAACTGTGTAATAATATGATAAAAGAATGTGTATCAGAAGTGCTGGCCTGTTATAGCAGCAGAATGATGGCCTTGCTTGCAAGCAAAGGTTTCCACTCAAAGTCAGTACTGTAATAAAGCTATATATCTTTCCCATGCTGATCAAAGTATTTTAATACATCTGTAAAAAAAAGTAAATGCAAATGAAAACGAATTGTTTTACAGTGAATAATTTTGTGAAATAAAGAAGTTTCTGCTCTTATCCCATCTCTCCAGAGACAGACAAGCAGGATGAAGATGTGCGAGATGAGGGGGAGGGAGCAGCGGGGTTCGAACCCAACCAGGCAGCAGGTGGTGTAAAGTCTTTGGCGACTCCAGCCGTGAGACGGTTGGCTATGGAGAACAATGTGAGTTATGAGGGCTGTTTTGAGTTAACACTTTGCCCCCATGGGACGCCGATCTGCGTTGGTGTGATATAGCATGTACTGCACCTGTATCCTGGTCCATGGGGATAAGTGTTGCACGCTCTGTGCGCTGCATGGGTGGAAAATGTTAATGACACAAGCACCAGAGTTGGCTGTTCAGAATAAGCAACAAGAGCGCTTCGATTATGGCATGATTTGTGGCGTCGATGGCCTAGTGGTTAGGCTACCGGACTCGTAATCGTGGTTTTGGGAGTTCGAGCCATGTCCTTGAGAAAGGCACTTTACACAAATTTTCCTCATTTCACCCAGTTGGGAACGGGTACCCGGCCATAGACAGCGAAAGGTCTTGTCAGTATTTTAGTGTCTTAGCGCCTATAAATGGCTGCTTGCACTGTATGCTTCCCAGGAAATTGAGGTTGTTTCAGAATGCTCTCAGGTCTGCTGGGGTAATAATATAGATTGTGAAGCGCATAGAGCTTGCTGTTGAGCGGGGATTAACGCTATACAAACGCTATCTTATTATTATTAGTAGTATTATTATTATGGTGGTTTGACAGCAGGAGTTCATCTGACACCTGAGAAAGAGGCTTCAAATAGCAAACAAATCTTTTATCCTTTTGTCTGCACCTTGTGCAAAGGGGGGGGGGGGAGGGGAGATGTTGATGGGGGGTTTGCAGACGCACACAAATGTTTAAACCACAAAGTTGTTTTCATATTTATTATAGTCATGAGTTCGTTCGTGCAGAAAAACACAGGTGTTTTCATTTCCACATGAACGGTGGACTGGACCGAGCTTTTTTTTTTCGTACCTTTTGAAGTATCAAATTTTGAATGTGGACGGTTGGAGGGCGCCACTAGTATGTCCTACTTCTTTACGTTCCCTCTATTGTTTCTGTCTGTCTTACATTTTCCTCAGCAGTAAATGACCATTGTTGTGTTGATATCCTTCTCTTTACTCAAACTCAAACAAAAATCTTGAATACTATCTTTATGGTTTACCATATGGCAAAGAGATTTACGTTCTTGATACCAAGAGGTTGAACCGGCATATGTCCTTTATTAGTTTAGACTTTATTGCGGTAGCACAACAAAAAAAAGCCTTTGGCTTTCATGTAGGGAAATGTATTTTGTCATGTATCTTCATCTTCCGGGACGAGAAGTGTATAATAATAATAACAGTAATAAATAGCGTTTGTACGGCGCATAACCCCACTCTACAGCAAGCTCTATGCGCTTTACTCTATATTATTACCCCAGCAGACTATAGAACTCTCAGAAACATTCTCCACTTTCAGAGAAGCATACAGTGCAAGCAGCTGATTAAGCCCTCAATTCAAACACTACCAAACTGACAAGGTCTTTCACTGTCTATTGCTAGGTACCCATTCTCACCTGGGTAAAGTGAGGAAAATTTGTGTAAAGTGCCTTTCCCAAGGACACAACGTCGGGTCCCTGATGGGTTTCAAACCCACGACATTACAGGAAAGGCCAAAAATAGATAACCTCTTTAACATTTTGCTGTGACCCAACCAGCAGCAGAAAATACCCCATCTGGTCACCCAGCCAGGAGAGTGACTGCAATGGACTTCTCGGGCCTGGTGCAGAAATGCGAATAATTTTCACAGGTGCATTACTGCGGCAAGTGATCGCAAAGTGTTAATGGTCTCAATTGGGTTGATCTTAGTGTAAAACAATTAACAATCAAGTTAACAGTGTTACTGGGTCTTTAAAAAATGCACCCAATCCTTGACATCTGCAAAAATGTGTCATACTCTAAGTTATCGAATAAGAGTCCACCCTCCACCCCCCTCCCCGCTTATTTTTTTTTTTTGGGTGCTCCTCCGCACTCCGTATTTCATACCCCCCCGTTTATTATTTTCTAGCTTGCCACGATGACGATCGTGTAAAACATTATATCTAGAATCTAGATATCTGAATGAAACTTTTTTTTTGTGTAAATGGCAAATTACCAGCAGTGTTAGTACAGGTATCGGGTTGGCTACCTCAATTTTCTGTACATTTTTAAAACTTTTGTACGTTGGTTTATACTTTTTAATGAAACTGGTTTGTTCCTAAATGGGGAAAAGTTGTCACTGTAACTTACTGAAATCACTAGAATTTCATGATCTCTTGTTCTTTTATTCACTGAAGGAGAAATAAAAACAGATTTGTTCCTACTGGTACAGGGGTATGAGGTTGAATGTGCCACCACCTTTTGTTACACACACACACACACACACACACACACATACACTCACACACATACACTCACACACACACTCACACACACACACACACACAGACACACCTTCTCCCCGTTTTTAAATTAATTTTGAAAGCACCACCCCTTTTATTTGATACTTTAGAGTAAGTTAAATGGGTTTTTTTTACAGATCAAGCTTAGTGACATTGTGGGAACTGGCAAGGCTGGACGAGTACTGAAGGAAGATGTGCTGCGTTTTCTCAGTGGCGAACAAAGTGAGTAACATTAATTCTGTGTTTCTCATATCATCGTGACAAAGAGTAATTGAAATGAAGACTTTTTTCCGACGTTTATAGAGTGTGCTGTGCCACAGTGTGTGCTGCATGTGAGTGAAAGTTGATATTTATTACCCGCAATCATGTGGAATTGATGAGCGAGGAAGACATTTTTATAAGTACTTACATCTATCTATCTGCTGGAAGTATATATTGAAGATGTTTTATCAAGTATCGCTGACTTTGTCCTAGAATGTGTATGAAAGATATTTTATTAAATGTCTCCTTCGTTGCAACTGGATCGCTAACAACCACAACAAAAGATGTCTTCTTTTTTGTGCTAGGACATATCCCATACAGACCAGATTTTACAGAAGACGGGGCTCAAAAAGCACACCTCCGACATGAGATCAAACATTTGTTGGTGGAGGTATGTGAAATTTTCAGTCAGTCAAAACATTGATAATGTCCTACTTTTTTCCCCCAGCAGCCCAGGCCCCAGCCTCAAGCCCCCAGACTGTCCCACCTACCACCCACGCCCCTCCCAGCCCCACCACTGCCCCACCCCCCGTCACGACCAGACCACCCCTTCCCCCTCCCCCTGTGGCCGCCCAAGCTCTGCCCGTGGGAGAAGACCGAGTGGTCCCGCTGAAGGGCGTGGCCAAGGCGATGGTGCGCGCGATGACGGAGGCGTTGCAGATCCCGGCGTTTGGGTACTATGACGAGATCGACGTCTCTCAACTGAGCATCCTCAGGAAGAGCCTCAAGCAGGTGGCGGAGCAGAGGGGCATTCAGCTCTCCTACATGCCCATTATTTTAAAGGCAAGTAGACACACATCACACAGTATCAGCTTGAAATCACTGAATAGATTGCAGGCTTTGCCAACTGTCAAGAATTTCACGGGAGCGTCCCGGATTCGGCAGTTTGGAATTTGAGAGTCTTATCCCATGCACTATGTCAAAATTCCTTGTCCATTGTAACATTCTCTGTTGTTATAAGCTTCTATGACCTTGCATGGGTTTTGAAAAGGTTAGCAAGCCTGAGATTGTATATGTCTCGAAAGAAATTTTGGGGGATTTTAAATATGTTTTCAATTTTTGGGCGATGTTGGTAAATAAGGGGGTCCCTCGCAGATTCAATAATTGATGCATTATCGTAAAAGTGATGTAATTATTGTCATCTTTATAAAGAGCCATAAAGTAGCAGAAGAAAATCTCGCTAAAGAAAAACCAACATACCTAGGAGCCAAACTTGAGCAAAGTCTAACCATGAAAAGCCAAGTGGAGAACATAAACAAGATAGAAAAAAGACTCCAACTTTTAAAGAAACTAGCAAGCAGTTCATGGGGATCAGACAAACAAACTCTGAGAGCTCTATACTTTGGTTATATCCGGTCTTCCCTGAAATACAGCAATAGCCTACTCACTATGTGCAGTACAACTACTTGCTACACCCTTGACAAGGTCCAAAGCAATGCCCTTTGTTTCATAAATGGTGACATGAGATCCATACCTACTGCCGCATATGAAATCCCTTCAAATATTGAACCCCTGGGAATCCGCAGAGATAAAGCAGTTTTGGGGCTACATGAAAGAACTAAAAGAATGTGCCCCAACCACCCAAACAGGAAATTACTGGAAACATGGAAACCAAAGAAAAGAATTCAACAAAAGTCAATCATGCATCACATCACAGAACTAATGGAGAGTCACCAAAAACTCCAAAAGAGTCAACCAAAACATCCCCCCCCCCCCCCCCCCACACCTTTCTTTAAAAAAGCCAATCATTACATCTCTCAGAGACAATAGCACAAAATCTTCAGACCCAATGATTCCCAATGATTCTAATGCTTGCATCACGTTGATGCTTGCATCACATCAAACAATCGACAGCTATTCAGATGACTGTATACACGTCTATAGAGACGGCTCAGCATTCAAAATCACAACCGAAGCCGGATAAGGTATACTAATACAGTACCCAAATGGAAGTTCAAGTGAGATCTCTGCAGCCTGTTGAGAGAAATGCAGCACCTATGATTATGATGCAGAAATGATGGCAATTGAAACAACAAACAACACTGTACCATCTCCGCACAGTTTTTGACACTCATCCTGGAAAGGCACACAGTATTGTGATTTTCGCTGACTCACTATCAGTCTTGCAAGCGATAGAAAATGACCATCATCTAAACCAAGATTTGACAGTTATACTGTTTGGCTCGCATCATCTGATAACATTCTATGGCATCAACCTAGTAATGCAGTGGGTCCCCGGTCATTCAAACATACCTGGAAATGACAGAGCAGACACACTTGCCAACATTCCAACTTCATACAACACTGTAAAACAAATGATTAAAAGCAACAACAAACAAGATTGTATGAACAGATGGGCCTTGGGAAAGACAGGCAGAGCAGTTTTCAAACATATAACCACAACAGAAAGGAATGACAATATCAACAATCTACAGAGAAAGAAACAGACCACGATTTTCCGCCTACGAACAGAACATATACAGCTCAACGTCTACTTGAACAGAATAAACCAGAACTTCCCCCAATGTGTTTCTTGTGTGACTACATATGATACTGTGGATCATCATCTGTTCCACTGCACTGCCCTAAATGACATTAGAGCTGCCCTTCTCCCTCTGAGACCTAACATTGAAAACACACTCTATGGAACATTACAGCAACTGCAGCAAACCTGCACTTATCACTACATGGCGTTTTACAGAAGGGCGAGAGCCCAGCTGTTGTTGGATCGATAACAACAGCAACAACAACAACATTGTCATAATTTGGCTTGTAGCTTGAGGGGGTTTTGCCCATCACCCAATGCCATTCTTTAGCGTATTAAAAATTTTTAAATAGAAATATTGACCAGTATCAAGCCGAGAAAATAAACCATTGAGAAAAAAACAACTTGCTTCGCGCGCTCATATGACCTTATGCAGTTGTGAGCGCCTTAAAACACCATACTAAACTAAAAACTAACAATGCCATTCGGTGAGCCACTTCAGTGACTTACTTCTATGAATTTATTGTGAGAAAAAAGAGTTGCCACTCCTACTTATTTATGTCTGTAACACCCATTTGAATAATCCCTATGGTGTATCCGTCCTGTCTCAGTAACTGAACACATCCTTTGTCTGGCAGGCTATTTCTCTCGCTCTGCTGCAATACCCGATGCTCAACGCTAGCCTGGATGCTTCCGGTGATAATGTGATCTACAAAGTGAGTCTTTGAGTTTTTGCCGCTCTTCAATACTGTTCAGTTTTTTGGGAGGGGGGTTTTTGCGGTCAATATGCTGAGAGCTTTTAATTGTTTAGTGTTCTTTTTTAAAAAGCAATAATCGGGTAATACATTTTTAGGACTAAGTTGTGTTTTGTCGTACAGTCTTGTAATAGATTTAAGATACTCATAACACATTTATATTTACAGAATTTTGCTGAGGACTGATTTTTTATTTTACTTCAGAATAAAAAAGTTATATTGTCTTTTTACAAAAGCTGGGTTTCAAATGCATGGTGTTCTGGTCAGGATGCCACGTCTCAGGATATTATGGAAGTCATATCACTAGAGCTCTCTACTGATTTCTTGAATTCAAGTCCTTCACTCTATTCATTTTGAGCTGCTACTGATATTTCCCCTTTTTTGTCATTTAAAAAATGTCTGCTGGTTCTCTTGACCCTCAGGCTTCCCACAACCTTGGCGTTGCCATGGACACACCAGAGGGTCTCTTGGTGCCCAACATCAAGAACGTTCAGAACCTGTCTATCTTTGAGATTGCCAGCGAGCTCAACAGGCTTCAGGCTGTTGGACTGGCCGGGAAGCTCGGCCCAGCAGAGCTCAGCGGTACCACCTTCAGTATCTCCAACATTGGAGCTGTAAGTAATCCTCTATAGACATACAGTGGAATCCACTCAAAGCAAACACAGTTAACTCAAAAAAGAGCAGTAAGCCAAAAGAAAAGAAAATATTCCCGGAGGGGTGTAACTTTTTTCTGGCGCTCATATGACCTTATGCAGATGCGAGCTCCGTAAAACCTCTACTAAAATCAAAACTTACTATTTGAGCAATTATTCCAAACCAAAAACGTAGCTAAACTGAAGAAACTTTGGCAGTTCCACAGATTTCGGTTTATGCAGACTCTACTGGATGAATATTGCATAGCTGCCCACTGTCCCGGGCCATCCGTTTTTTGTACGGGTTTTCTTGAAAAATCGCTGTTGTCCCGGAAATACAGATTTTGACCAACGGTCCCGGAAAATAAAAACTTGGCAAGCATACTTCTAAAACAGAAAAATTAGCCTTTCTGTTGCTCGGGAAAATGACAAAAATGCGGGAGATTCCCGAAAAATTCGGGAGAGTTGGCAGGTGTGCAGTTTGGACAAAGTCAGCTGATACGCATGCGCAGCGCTCGGCTTCTTCATTCGTTTGAAAAGATGGCATCAAAACGTTCGGCGATGAGTTTTAAGTCCTACTCTGGACCAAGTAAAGCAAAGAAACCGAAAAGGCAGCAAGTTTTTCTTGACAAATACAAGGTGTCCCTGATAATTACTCAATGTCCCTGATTTTGAGCAATGCTGTCCCTGATAGCCACAGAGAGGGGTGGGCAGCTATGATATTGTATATGCATTGGGATGTGGTGTGATCCTATGGCATCAAGCATCAATAATTCATGTCATTGAATGAAATAGATTTTCATGTAATGCCTCCTTGGACTGCACGAAAATATTTCCTCAGTAGTCAGCATGAAACCAATTCGTAGTTAAAGAGCGCTCTTTATCTTATTGTTCATAGATAGTAACAAAACTTGTAGGTGTACATTGGTTGAAACAAAATTAACTACATTGGCGACACTGGTAGAATTTGATTTTCATTTTGTTAATACAAGTGTGATAAGTTATGCAGAATTTATATACACTTTTTCTTTTGTCTTTACCTCTATGAATATACACTTACAGATGCAAACATGGAGAATCATTCTTTATATGACGTGATATTTCTTCAGATTGGAGGCACCTATGCTAGGCCAGTGATTCTACCTCCAAATGTTGCCATCGGTGCCATTGGCAAGATTCAGGTAAGTTTGCTTGAATTCTGATGACACCAACGGCCAATACCAGCTCTGGGGAGGAGCCGACGCGACGGGGGTTTTTTAGCGGGCCACGGGAAGTGTGTAGGCCTAGGTCTAGCAGCTGTGGCGTCAGATGCACTACGCAGCGGGTGACCTTGATACAGGACTTCAGATTCAAAATTGACAATCAAAAACGAAGTTTGCTTAAATTTAAGATATGGAATCGAATCAGGTTCTATGCGAGCCAATTTGCTTATTTGGATACGCTGATTCCGAAAAGGAAATCAATTTTTAGCGGCGACAACTATTTTTAAAATTCTGCATGCAAAGTTTAATCCCACACGGCAGCAAACTTCAAAGGTATTTTGCATCACAGTTCGCCTCTCCAATCCTGACGTTTGTGTGGGGATGCGGGTGGCGCTGATCGTGGCATTAGACGCAAGACGCAAAGTCTGTGACGTCACCTACTGGAGTCACTACCAGGTACTGGCGGTTCTCGCCACCTGGTGCGAGAAATTACCAACACTGAATTTCACCGGTACCGCCCACCACTAGTGATTGGAAAATGGCTTAAGTACAACCTAGGTTCAGTCCGTCTATTACATATATAAAATCTTTTGATATTGCATGTTGTACTTGTGAGCATCAAACAGTTTTGTGAAAGACCAGCTGCATATGTGCATGATGGCAAAGGCTCTGAAAGGTATCAAAACATTGAATACGGATTTGACGAAATTGCCCACAGTGTGCGCTGGGTATAACACGAATAGAATTCCAGAGTAGCTGCTTTGGCTTTAGAGGCTAGCATCTATTGCTTGACTAAAGTGGTCGTCTTGTGGATCAAATTTTTTACTTTTTACCAGGCCTAAATACAAGCTTGCGCTATTGTCTAGTTAATGTTACTGGAATTGTGATGCAAGTAACTAATAAGAATGACATCTGCTTTCCAGACTGTCCCCCGCTTTGACTCCTCCGGTGAATTGATAAAGTCCCAGATTATGAACGTGAGCTGGACAGCGGATCACCGCGTCATTGATGGGGCCACCATGGCCCGGTTCTCCAACCTGTGGAAACAGTACCTGGAAACCCCCGATATGTTCTTGCTCAGCCTGAAGTAGACACAACGGACGACCCACGACGGACGACCCACGACCCCCCCTGGGAGGTGCAGAGAGGACCACAGAACATGTTTTTGTTGATATTTGTCACAGCACAGTCCTTGTTTTTGTTCCGTGATATTATAGTACAATACAGATGGACAACGAGGGATTGACTCTTCATGCGGGAGGAGACTTTGGAGAGAAAGAGACTCGTTTTAACCATTTCCTAATCATATTCTTTCCTTTGGGAGTTAATGTTCTTTTGCGCTTAAAAAACAGGGAACTAAATTGTGGCCGCTGATGCTAGTTTTGACATGCTTTTTTTTACCTTTCAATTACCACTGGATTGAACAGGAAAGGGTTTTGGTATAAGTGCTCTAGGATTTTTTTCTTTTCAAGGATTGTTTTGGAGAAGTTTTAAGATGAGGATATGATTGAGAAACCTACAATATTTGAGTTGTTGAGATTTGTGGATTTTGAGTACACTGCTCTGTCAAATCTCAACGTCATGAGCCTTTCCTTCAAGTATTAGCTGGTATTCCGGGCTTTTTTTAAATTTTTGCATTGCTTCATAGATAGTAACTAACCAAATCATATTTTGTTGTTTTTTTGTCACTCTTGACTTGTATATTGTTAAGTGAATGGTGTCTTTATACCTTTATATCAAAGGACTTCATCAGAGCTACATAATGGTATGTTAGGAATGGGTCTAAAAGCTTAGGCTCAAATTTGATACAGAAAGGGGTGCTTTGAAAGGTTTTTTTAAAGAAAGAAATTGTACGATGTAACATAGTATGTAGTTGAGAGTTCCATCATGGTTTTATTAATACTATGAGTTCTGTTTAATGAAATTAGTAGAATTATGTGCAGTTTTATCTAAACAGGGTATCATGTGTTCATAGTCATAGGCTGTGCTGAGCTTTGAAACCTGGTGATCATATTCAATACGTCTTCATGGATCTGTCTTCTGTGATGGTTCAAATACCTTGAATTTTGTGTGTGTGTACTTTCTGTAATGGCACTCCGACAAAGAAGTATTTGAATCTTTAAAAGAAAATGTTATGTATCTGGAGTCTCAATGATGATTGCTTTCAGAGTTTAGGCTCACAATTTTGACTGAGCTGGGGAAAGTGGGATAAATGGCGGACATTTTTCAAGTGGTTTGGGAGAGAGTTGATTTTTTTTTGTACGTGTGAATGGAGGTGTACTAAGCACTGGGTTGGTTCTACCTCATCAGGCATGTCTTTGCACATGATTTAAGTGGTAATGTAGTCATTTAGTGAGTCAAAGGCTATACATCCCCTGTACTGATCAAGGGTTGGAGGGAATACTCAATTCATTACCTGTATAATATTCAGTCTGTTCTTGTTCCTTATTTTTTCATTGTACTGTCGTTTTTGGTAAGGGTGCTGCCACTTTTTCAGAAATTTCTGAAACTTTGGAAGGTTCTGCACTCAAAGTAATACCTGTGATAGCCAGTAACAAGGGTTGCAACCAAGTTTCCCACATTCAAGTTGTGGATTGTTTGCTTTGAAGGTCTCTCTCTCTCGCGTATTCCTCTTCTTGCAGCTTTTTTAAAAAATGGCCCATGTGTTGTTCATTCGTCTCATGTGAAATAATGGTGCGTGTCCAGCAGAATGTTGATTTCATATCACGCTAAACTTTTCCAACCTTTTCTGTTTCATAAATGATGGCGGTCTGTTCTTTAATTGGAGAGCAGGTGGCAGTGTATTTATGCACATTCAAATGTCTAGTTAGATTTAGCTAATTCCATGCCAAGGTTAATTTCACGACTGCTAGACAAATTATTGTCTTTGTCTTTTCCTTTCACATGGTAGACAGATTCCAGGTTAGCTAGTCGTTTGTTTCCAGTAAGAAGTGGATTAGCATGGAACATGTCAAACCTGGTGGCAAATTCTTTATTTAGATGTCTCTAGTTCAATAACTTTTCCAAATTTATGTTTTGGTGACTGGTGTATTCAGTGATAATATGTGTTCGTGAACTAGTTTGATTAGTTCTGAACATTTTTATTTTGTTGTATTTACACAAAAGACCCTTTTGCTTTTACTTATATCAGATTTAACAGCTTGACCGGGATATCAAGTGTAAAGGTGGCATGGACTGCTTTTATTAATTGCTGTCATTTGTTACTCCCATGGCGTTTTATTTGATCAGCCTTGCAGAGAAATGAAGTTAAAATCCAAGGGCCATCTGAATGATTTGTCTTGTTTCTGGTATATTTCTGGGGAGCCTGGTGCCCTAATGGTTAATCTGGAATTGGTTTTGGAAATAACCTACGTTGTATCTCATAGACTGTCGAACTTAAACAGCATTATGACATCTTCACTTTAGTTTTTCTAGTTGTGTTGGGTTTTTTCATTTTCATGTCACCTCTCCATGGTACTATTACAAGGCCTTGGAGTAAGATTAGTTTCTTTTGTTGCCTTCTTTATACTTCTGGCTTACTGTATATTCTTTCATTTGAATATCATTGCCTTTCAAAATTCCACTTCCTTATAAAGATATGATATGTCTGTTCATGTAAAGAATATATGGCTTGAGTTCTAGCTCTATTTAGACAGAGGAAGTAATATCAAATTTTGTCAACTGTGTTGTAGAGGTAGAGCAGTATATAAAGTTGTTTTGTACTCGGTGCACATTAAGATTTTTGTCTTATGACCTTAATTTTGCTAACCTCTTCTTGCTTGCTGTGCTCTTATTTACTTTTGCTTGTGTAACCTTCTTGATAAGTTGGCATGCATATCAATGTAAGGACAGATGGAATTTGTAAGGTTTGACATCTTTAAGTTCCTCATAATCAGCTCCCTCTAGGCTACTAATGATTTGTTGTTATGTTTTGGAGGCTACTGTTTATTATTGTTGGTTGTCAGTATTTTGTTCCAGTGATATGACGTGCACAAATGGGTTTGACCCTTGCATACTGAAAACAAACTCTGTTCATATTTAAAGCGAAAAAATGCCATGTGTTTACAAGCCAACCATTATGGCTTGGTTGCTGACGTTTTCTTGCCCTTTGTATTCATTGTTGCCCTGAAAGGGCATACTGTTGTTGTGCACTGTGCTCTGTGTTAAAACAAGACTTTGGTCGGTTACTGTGCCATATTGTTGTCGACAGATGGAATTTATGTTTTGTCACTTTATGTACTGTTTCTTTTCAGAAAAACAACAAACAGAAGTTGTGCCAATAATGTCTCTTCAACATTGTCTTTGTCTTTGTATTTTAGCATGATTATGGTTGGGGAAAAAAGGTTGATAAAAATTAATGTTCTTGCATATTGGGGTTGTTGTTTTTTTTAATATGTGGAGGAGGATGGTAATACTTTTGAGGATGATCTGTCTTCCAGGGTACTTTAGTTTTGAACCTGTCTTGGCTTTGGAAGTAACCATGATTCTCTCTTTGTCGTGATCACAAAAGTATCGATTTAATCCAAGTCTGTGTTGCTTATATTTTCCTCATGGTTAGCCTTATCCTAGTTTGTTCCAGACAGGATGTGGTGGCTTTCGAGCGGACTGATCATATAAACCAGCTGCTGTACAGGAACATTTGTATTCTTCAGGCCTTTTGAAGCTCTTTGGCCTATTTTTTCTCCTCTCCTTTCAGTGGGTTTTTTTGTAAAGGAGAGTGTGTCTTCTTTTCAATCAGAGACCCAGGTTTCCCTTGCGAAGATCTTTCACTGTTATGTGCCATGTTCAACCGAAGTAGGAAGACCCTGAACATTAGACATTCCACCTTTGAAATGTCATGCCAATGTCTCGTAGGGCATCAGATGAGAGAGGTTGTTTTATAGTTTGTTCTAACGGTCTGTGTAAGCTCTACGGGGAAATTGTCTCTTTACCCAGTCATTTATGCCTTGGTCTCAGATTTTAATTTATTTCATTTGATGTTCTATGGGAAATGAAAGAGAGTCTTTAAAAAGGAGCAATTTAGTATGTTAAGCTGTAATTCTCAATGTTAATGGGAACCCTGCATGAAGATATAGTCTGATTTTCTGAGGGATTTCAGCAATTTTGTGTTGGCTCCACTTCACAGTGATAACTCGCAAAGTGTGCTGGTTCGTGGGATTTTGAGAAGAATTTCTTCAGGTTTTGTTTTGAGGAAGTTTGAAGGGTGTTTTTTTGTTTCGTTTTTGTTTTTCTAAGATCTGTTTGTGATTTGACTTGATGTATATGAATTTTATGTTTTAAAATCTGTTGTCTCTTCTGTGAAGTTGCTATTTATCTGAATTTGAGTTCATGTCTTTTGTATGTACGTATGTTGCTCCTGTGTAGTTTTTGTTTTTGTGAATTTGAGGTCTTGTTTTCTTGAATATACACACCTCTTTTTGTTGTGTTTGTAGAAAGTTTTCAGTGGTGCACGGTAGACTGGTCTTGTTTGTCCTTTTTCTCCACTTCCCTTTGGCATTTTGTCCAGGGATATTTTTAAAAAATCATTTTCCATGGCCATGGTCATGGACTCATGAGATGTTCTCTCGAAGAGGTGAATGTTCAGCCTGATGTTTTTTGGGGGCGCAAAGTGACGGTATAAGTGTGTTTTTCTAGATGTTTATTAATAGCTTCTGTCTTCAAAGATCACTTGACCACCAAACATCATAATATGAGGGAGTCATTATTGGAAACTAAAAAAAGAATGAGTTACATAATTTGTTCACAAATGTATATTGTTGTATTTTCTTATTTCAGATCAACTGTAAAAATGCAGTTCTTTAAATAGTTTTTATCACTAAAGTGATCAGTAGTAGGTTTACAGTGGCTGGCAAATAGGCATGGATCGTGGCTGCCAACTGTATTTATAAGGGAAAAAAACAAAGCCATGTATAAAGACTTTTTTTAAAAATTAGCGTAAAAAAGTCTGCCTCGTGAAAGAGCAAAAAAAATGTGTTTGCTGTCACGTAGTGAAGATTTTGACAACGTCAGGGTTAGGTGGATCAGTTTATTTAACTCTTTAAATCCTGAGTTTCTTTCCGCTGTCTCCCAGAGTTTTTTCTATAGTCACCTAAACCTGGTGCATGATCTATCATTATAACCTCAAAAACTTGCCTCCTACTTCTAAATAGCGAAAACAAATGCTTTATCATTACTAAAATACTTGGATCAGGAATAATTCCGAAAAACAAGAAGAAACTTACACTAAATGAAGCACAGCGTCCGATGGGGTTTAAAGAGTTTAAGACTTTGTTTTGCTTCAACAAACCTTATGCTCCCTCCTGAATGGAGTGCTTCCAGAAGACCAGTAGTATACTCCCCTGTTTCGCACAAGTGTTGGGTAAACTTTTTCGGGTGTAGCCTCTCTACACCGGAATACTTTTTTTTTTGTTGTTGCTTTGTACAGACGTTAACAAGGTGGAGATTGTCTCCTTTCGCAGAGCAGCTGCCTCAAGACTTGTGAAGTTCTTCAATAATGTAAAACAGGTCTTATTCATAAGCAGTGGGTCTTCAAACGCCCTGTCTTCCCGAGTGTAACGATCATGCCCGTCTCCTTGCGTGCTGAACACATCTTGACAGTTTGAAGCCCAAGTGGGCGTGGTATTTATTGAGTGCCTGTTTTTTCTGTCTTGCTGGGATGTGGTCTCCCTCACAACATTGGTTGGCCCTGAAAAGTAGAGTCAAAGAAGCAACAATTCTCTTATTTTATGATCAAAAGTTGTGTAGATGTGAATGGGACATTTATAATCTATGGTGAGGCATCGTGGTGAAATCAGGCGCTCTTCAAAATAATGAAATCAAAGAAAAAAGCATTTTCCCACCAGTTTGGTAATTTTTATCGAAATTTTGCTTTTTGGCTAAACGCCTTATATGTTCATATGAAAACACATTTCCAGGTAAATTATGTAATTTTCAGTTTTCAAGGACTCTTAGGCCTTTGAAATTACCAAACTTTGTCAGCCATTTTCTCATTAATTAAACCACTGAAACCAGGCTAACCCACCTTTTTCAATCACAAATATCTCGACTTCTATTCAGGGTAGATGGATATTTATTTAATTGAAAGCAAGGGAAATGAATAAGCTTTCAGATGATATCAATAACTCTACATGCCTGAAATTGACGAGCGCCTGATTCCACCATGTTGTGACACAACTGAATTTGTTCAAAAGTACCATTCATTCGCAAACAGAAACAAATTGAATTCATGTTACGACTTTTTAAATTTTATATGTGCTTATTCTTACATAATGAAAAGAGTGTGTTTATTATCTATAATTATAAAGATTTATTTCCTGTGAAGAACTCCTGTTTTACAGTATTGTTTTCTGCGAATATGCTTCCGGACTGGTTGTTATGTACGTATTGCTTGTTGAAAGTTTTGTTGTATGCTCAGAATCTCATAACAAAGGTAGGATTTGCATTACGTGTTGATTAACATTTGTGCATATTTACATAAAAGAGTTTGTTTTGGTGTGTTGTAGTGAGGAGGCTAGGGAGTTTCTGAATTCTCTGGTGCGTCAGTAATGTTGTGATGGGCTAGAAAAGAAGGGACTTTCATTGTATAACGATATATGTCTGTTGTATGATGAATAGAATTTATGGAAATCAGTGTACCCGGTGTTCTCTTTACTTTTTTTTACTTTGTGTTGCGTGTTTACCTTTTGAGAGTGTGGGTGGTTGGCGGGTGCTCTGGTAAATAATAATAATAATATAATTATAATAATTGCATTTATATAGCGCATATCCATGTTCTATGCGCTTTACAACTATTATTACCCAAGCAGACCCTCTGAGAACACTCAGAAACATTTTCAGCTTCCACGGAAGCATACAGTGCAAGCTGTGGATTTCACACGTTCAAACACTATCAAACTGACAAGATCGTTCACTGTCTATAGCCGGGTACCCATTTCCACCTGGGTGAAGTGAGGAAAATTCGTGTAAAGTGCCTTTCCCAAGGACACAACGTCGGGCCCCTGACGGGATTCGAACCCACGACCTTACGGTTGCGAGTCCGAGAGCCATTGGTGTGGTTTGCTTCTTCTTGCCTATCAAACACCTATCGTCCTTATCTCCCCTTCTTCTTTCTTATGTTTATTACTCTCTTGTTACACCTCTAATCTTCTGGTAGTCCTACAACCTTATGCAGTTGCGAGCGCCGTAAAACCTCTACTAAAACTAAAAGATGGCCGAGTCAGCCGTTAGTTCAGTTGACATCATGGTGGACTACAGGGCATGTGGCCCTGGTTCGGATCCCTGACTGGGCATCTTTTAACTCGCGTCGCTTGTAGAGTTTTCAGGGCTCTCGATTCTCTCCGAGACAGAGATTAAATTCGGAGACCCTGTTTCTTAAGTAACTTAATAGGGTTGATGGAGGCGATGAAATAATTGCACTTATTTTATTTTTTTATGTATTTTCTTTTTAAAGAAGAAAATCAACACAATCTAGGTCTTTGAGAAAGCTAGCTGCTTCGACCCTGTCTGTCTTCAGGGTCATCCCAGGTTAGACGGGAAAGAAACACCGTCCCAGCAGACAGACGGAAGTACTCGATTAACCCTATCCGTACGCCCAGGGGTCATTTTGTACCCCTGGGGTTGTATTCTTCACATTTTAGAATACGTCTGGTACGAAGATCTCTTTTGAAACTTTTATTAGTATTTCTCAAACAATCATTTTGACAGACTGCTATGCAAAGTGAACGGATCGGATTAACGATTAAATTGTTTGGAAAGTGGTGGCACAGAGTTCCCCACATCGTATGGATACCATAGTAAAACACGACGTTCGGATAGGGTTTAAAAAAACCTCCCCACACGGAAATCGATGTAACGTCTTTGCGATGTAGAAGTGCCTATATAACCGCTTCAACACATATCTGCCGTCTTGTGACAGAACAACGCATGTGCCAAAAATGAAATTTTACAAGAGAGGCAAAAAACACACACACAAAAACATAACTTTTTGTATGAGTTTCAGCTTTGGTCAATCTGATTATTTTATGTCAATATTCATTGGCCAGGAAACGACAAATGCAGTTTTAGGACACCTGAATAGATATAAGGGTCTTGAGCATCCAGCTCTCACTTTCAAAATTGAAGGCAGGCGAGGCAGGGGTAGGCCCAGAGCAACCTACTTGGGGAACTTGAACAAGTGGGTGACAGGGAAAAATCAGGGAAACGTGGCTTTTTTAAGAGCATCCAAGCAAAGGAATGAATGGAGAATAGTGATCACCGATGTTTGTCGCATATCTGGCACTGGATGATGATGATTCATTCAGACTTGTGTCTGATTTGCTGAGACGAGCCATGAAAAGTTCTTCCCCTGTGTATAAAAGCCACTTGACCCAATTACGTATATACTATTTTTCTGTCTTAAGACGGCCGAGATGCCGGTCCTGAATGGCTTTTGTTTGTTTTTGGTAAGTGTTTTACGGCGCTCGAAACTGCTTAAGGTCATAATATGAGCGCTCGGGACAAATTAAACTTGTTTAGTTGGTAGGAAATTTTGAATTTTGTCCACATGGCGGCCAAAATCTGCTCTTATCGACTTTAGACCACCAAGGGATCTGTAACGTGCGCAACTGGCACGCGGGCTCTCCGAGTTTTATAGCCCTTGACCGAGGAGACTAGGTGTAGATCTTTCCTACTAGAAGATCAGGGGTGTGGCTGAAAGACAGCAGTAAGAAGGAGCCAAGGATTAGCAGTAGAAAGGCTGCAGAAAGAGTCTAGAGCCCAGAGGAGGGGGCAAAGGAGGTGAGGGGGTGGGGGC